AATAATAATAATAATAATAATAATAATAATAATAATAATAATAATAAGACTCCTACAAAGGGAGGTGCTGGCTCCCACCTTGTGTCTCGTCCTCCTCAGAGTGTCCGGACCTCCCGGTGCTCACCGGGGGCCCCCGGGTGCTGTTCGGGGCCCGGTGGTACGTGGTGAAGCCCTCCTGCGGCGCGAAGGAGCAGATGCTGCTCCCCCTGTAGGTGCAGTTGAACAGGTAACAGCTGAGGCTGTCCCCGGCCCTCCGCTGCTCCCCCTGCACCACCGCCACCGTGCAGTGCGGCTGCGAGCAGCAGGCGTGCACGCAGTCCCTCCACGTGTACACCCTGTCCGGGGCCAGCAGGAAGGTGGCCCCCTGCTCGATGGAGGCCTTCGTCCGGATGATGCGCTCCCCGACCGCGCTGAAGTCGCCCGCGCAGGTGTCGGCCACCTCGGCCGTGCGGTACGCCTGGTCCTGCTGGAGCTGCTTCCTGAACTCCTCCAGGAGCTCCTCCACTCCGGATATTTTGGATTTCAGGTCGGAAATCTGGGAGGACCGAGCGTGGACGTGGTTCAGGGCGAGCAGCAGGACGACGGAAGCGAGCAGCCGCCGGGGATGATGAAGCGGAGCCATGTTTGGTTCATGCGGTTTAACGGGGTCCTCCCTGCCTCCGGGCCGGGCTCCCGGTCATTGAGGGTCTGTCTCAGCGCCGGAGACCTCCCGACATTAAAAACACCTCCGTAGATGTGAATTAAAGCACAATTTTACACCCGAAACGTCTCAACGTCTAGAGCCGTCGTTTTCTGACGATGCTGAAAAAAATCTCTCCGTTGTCATGGTGAGATGGGTTGCCAGTTAAGAAAAAAAGACGAATTATCGGTTTGGCGGTCGGATCGGACGATGACGTGGGTGTTCTTGTGAATAAAATGAAGAAGACTAGTGAACTGAAATGCCAAAATAATTTATTGCTTTGGTCATCTCGCACAGACCAAAAACTATCGTATAAATACGAATATTTTTGTATATCTGGCAACATCGCTGGCGAAGTGAGTGAGGGACCGCGGGAGCAAAATAGCTGACGTCACGGAGGTGTAAATGTGGCGACCGTTAAACCCGAAATTACAGAGCAATGCTGTTTAAAGACGTTTTTCCCCACTGTGCCTTATTTTCAGGCATCTTTAATATAAATGGTGTGTTTCTTTCTTTGTATTTCATGTATACGCTCACTTAGCAAGAGGTTAAGTTAAGTTAAAGCAACAGATCTTATTCCATGGCTCCTCTTACAGGGGCACACGCAAGTGGGGGTCAGTGAGGCGATGGCCCTTCTATAAATTTGCTAATGCTAATCCAGACAATCTCTTCCTACTGAGTCCTAAACTTTAGCTTGGTGTGCATTTTTAATGTATCATTTCATTTACTTGTAAATGAGTCTTCGAGGCTCAATGTGATTTATCTGTTTAAATAAAGGTTGAATGAATTAATTTAAGATCAGAAGAACATCATAAACATAAAAATATAAATATCCTGATGCATGTTCAATAATCCAGTTAGAAAAATGTAAAAAAGTTAAATCTGGTTCTCTGGACATTCAAAAAACAAAACAAAGCAAAACGACAACAAAAGAAAAGTAGAAATGTTTCGTCTCTCATCCGAAAGACTTCCTCAGTCTGAGGTGCTGTATTCAGCTCAGTCTTATAAATAGCACCTTCTCAGAGTGGATCAACCAGTTTTGCTGCAGAGTCATTGGTTCAGGTATGTTGACGACACCTGGGTTAAAATTAAATCTCAGGAAGTCCAACATTTTACTGACCGCATCAACTCTGTGGATAAATGCATCAAGTTCACACGAGAAGATGTAAAAAAATGGCAGGTTGGCTTTCTTGGACTGTGAGGTCTCAGTCTCTGATAGAGGACATTTGCAAACAGAGGTGTACCGCAAACCCACCCACACAGACCAGTATTTGCAGTTTGACTCCCATCACCCTTTGGAGCACAAGTTAGGAGTCATCAGGACTCTGTACCACAGAGCAGACAGCGTCCCCACTAACTCAGGAGCCAGGCAGAAGGAGAAATCCTACACAAAACAGGCTCTAGAGTCTAGTGGATATCCTAACTGGGCCTTCCTGAAAGCAGAGAAGAAACCCAAACAAGACTCCAGTCAGCCATCAGGTGAAAAGGAGGAACCCAGACCCAGACCAGTGGTCATTCCATATGTTGAGGGAGTATCAGAGAAACTGAGACGTTTATTTTCTAAACATAACGTCCCAGTGGCTTTTAAACCCCAAAATACATTACGGCAAAGACTGGTTCATCCCAAAGATCCAGTCCCCCGGCACAAACAGAGTAATGTTGTGTATGCTGTTCAGTGTCAGGAGGGTGATCAGTCTTACATCGGGGAAACGAAACAGCCACTGGCCAAAAGGATGGCCCAGCACAGAAGATCAACATCATCAGGCCAGGACTCTGCGGTCTACACTCATCTCCAGGCCAGAGGTCACTCTTTCAGGGATGAAGATGTTCACTGGATAGAGAGGAACGATGGTTTGAGAGAGGAGTAAAGGAGGCCATCTTTGTGAAACCTCCATCATAAAACGAGGAAAAAAAGCTATGAGCAAAAACTTGCAAAACACTAACAGCGATCACCACGCAAAGTAGCTAAACTGAGCAAAACGCTCAGTAAAGGCTAAAAATGAAGCAAGTGTAAAGTTGATTAAAAAAAAAAAACAACTTCATGTGTCCAGGGTTTGAAGAGTTCTCTATTCATTTCAATTGGGGGGAATTTTTTGTCCCAAAAGTATGAACACTACTAAAACCTGATGTCCTAGCTGTAATGCCACGAACAAGCTAAACATTTAATATATGAATAATCAAAATAGGTAAACGTAGCTGAACATGAAAACAATGAGGGTAATGCTGACTCAGCGTTCACACACAAAACACCACAACTCTTATCTTTTTTTCATGCTGCAAATTATCCAGCTGTTTTATCTTCAAATTAATACTTTAACTTTATCTGAACAACTTCCACACAAATATCAGTTTCAACGTGAACGTTTTTATTTAAACAATAACACACACAAAAACAAAAACCTTTGAACATTTTAGAATAAAAAAAAAGGAACTTCATGATTATGTCTCCCATTTCGGAGTAAATGGTTAAAAACAGGCTCGGCCATGAGAACGTTTGCATTTCTCATTTTCACATTTATCTCACTGAAGGTTCACAGGCAAGATAAATCTCTTTGTCAGTGTACAACAACTAATGATATAATAATGTAATCACTTCTAAATATATTTTATAATTTGTGAGACTAGAAAATACTACTATATACAATAATTTTTTCCATGAATTCTATGACAGACTTGAAGACTTTACCATGTTCACCAAATGCCTCCTTTAAGGTACATAAACTGGTCATTCACAAGGAAATTTATAATATTTACATGAAAAAATATTCCTAGCAGTAAAATTACAAAATGTAAAAGGAAATGTGTAAGAAAGAAACCACATTTAAATAAAAGTGAAAATGGAATTGAAATAAAAACAAATAAAAACGAACAAAAAAAATAAATTATATAAATTTCAATAAAGTAGTGATGATAAAAATACTAGTACAAACAAATTCAAATGTAGTATTTTGTATCTCAGGCTTATTAGAAAACGGTCAGTTCCCATTATTATTATTATTGTCATTTTTTGTAAAACGAAACATCTTGTTTCTATTTCAAAATGTGTATAATAGTTTTTGTTTTGACCATCAAATATACTTTGGAACATCTGTAACAAAAAGCTATAACAAAACTAGTGGCACTTCTTAGGAATTGTTCGAAAATCCTCGTTTTAAACTTATAAAACACTCCTGGAGGTCGTTGTGCGGTTGGAGCTGCGCTCACGGCTTGTTTTCATCTCCTGACAGTCTTGTTCCTGTAAGCACTGAGGTAAGACGGAGCGCGTCCTGCTTCTCCGCCAGTTCGGTTCCACCTGAGGCTTCATGTCGGCCTCTGCCTGTAGTCCGTGATGGCCTTCCACAGTCTGCACAGGACCCCGCCCCTGACAGGTTCAGCAGAGAAGAGAGGTCGCTAGGTTAAAATAAAATAAAAATAAACAGCTAATTTTGTTCAAAAAATGGTTAAAATGTTACATTTCAATCATTGCATTGTAACCAGGGCTTAATTTGTAAACCAAATGATACTGGAATGCAAATGGGGGGGGGGCTCTGGGTGTCCTCCCCCAGAAAATTTTGAATAAAGTAGACGTCATTCCCTGCATTCTACTGTATTTTAACGGGTTGTTAACATTTACGTTTACCTACATAAGTAAATTAAATAACTATTTAGTAGCCTGACCAACAGTTCCCCCCTGTGTGAACAGAGCACGCTCTGCTTCTCTCAAGCATCCTCGCTCCTGCTCCAGTATCTCCACTGCCACCATGTGCTTCAATTCTCGCTTGTTTAGTTGTACAATAAGACTTCTTTTTTAATGAAAGTAAATTGGACTGTCTTTTCGACATTTTGATAGCTGTTATTTTTAACAAATTGGCGCCGTTGTTTTAATACGTGATGTACGTCACATGATTACCCATCAAACGTTTCTCTCGTACTTTTAATACATAAGCAAAATTTTATTAATGACCCACTTAAAGTATAAAAGTGATTTGCAATTTAGTTGTGCTGTTTAATTATATTTTTGTGTTTTTAATTAAATTGCTCATGACTGAACTTTTAGGGGAGTAGATTTTTTTAAGGGTATAAGCGGAAATGCTTACTTGAAGGGGGCAGCTCTGATGTGATATTAAGAAGCTCGTAAATGGCTGTTATGTTTAAAATGAGTGTTTATGTAATTATTTTCAGATTACATGTACAATATAGGTTTCATTTATACAAGACAGTCAAATTTGTTCATAACTTTATTATTAGCAAGCCTGAGAGTTACCGGATCCAAGCAGTTCGGAAAGCACCCTGTCAAAATAATAGAGTTCTCGGATCCTGTTCCGGCAGGCTCAAATTAAGCCCTGATTGTAACTGCTCGCTGGCTTAAAACAAAAACGGACAATTACGTTTTTTGCCTGTGTCTTTGTGCGAGTTACTGGGAACCATAGGACGAGCTTTATAGAAACCAGCACAAAATAATCATTTAATATACTGGTATATCGAGCCTGCCTGATATAGGGGCCGAGATGGAGCAACCGATCTGGGACCAGAAAGTCGCGGTTCGACTCCCAACCATTCCCACATGTCGTGGTGTCCTTGAGCAAGACACCCTAATTGCTCCCCGGGCTCCTACATAGCTGCTCACTGCTCCACCTGGGTGTATCTCAAGCCGAGAACTAATTTCGTCACTGTATAGGAACATACGACGATGACAACACATAAGCACTTATACTTATTATTATATATACTTATTATATTTAGAAGCTAAATATAATATAAATATAAAGCTAACAAATGAAAAAACAGCAATATATTAGTAAATTATGAAGAGATAAAATTTGATGTGGTGGTAGCTGAGAGTCATTAACAACACAATTTCTGAGGGTTAAAAGATTTGTTAAAATCTTTGTTTAAAGTTTTACCGTTATTAATTAATCAGGTCAAGCATGTCTGTCAACAAAACAATTATTGAACCACGGGAAACTTACAGGAATTAATCAGGAGTTGTGCCTCAACAACTGGTTAACTTTTAAAGTCAGCCTAATTCAAGATGGCCGCCACAGCCAAGCAACATTAGCAAACGTGAAAGTGGCTGTAGCTCAGCCTGTTTTACAGATGTGCAGCTAAAAGTTGATGCCGTAGCAGCTGAGAGTCATACCCAACACATACTCCGAGTACAACATGTTGGGTGTTTTAACAGTTTAACGCTGATTGTTGAAGCAAACTTTGTCTGTTAGCAGAATATCTCATAAACCACTGGGCAGATGTTAATGAAACTTCCAGAAAGTAATAAATGGACGTTCAACTACAATTGATCAACTTTTGGAGTCATTTCAATTCAAGATGGCTGCCACAGTTAATTAACATTAGCCAACCCGGAAATGACCCTTACATCGAGATAATGTAGTTTTTAGGGTTCGATCAAAACAGCTACAACTAGCATGAAGGACAGCGGGTGATATGCATTCCTTCAAGGAAGACAGGATTTTTTTGTTTTTACCTAAATTTAATATTCGTTTAACAGAATTCAGGACCTTTTTGGGCAAATAATTTAAAAACATGTCTTGATAGAACTTCCACAAATGCCTTCAATCCTGCAGTTTATAAAAATATGACCACTGGGGGGCGCTAATGTTTTCTGTTCATGGAGAACTTGGTGAGTTTTAATTTTATTCTTTAATTGTAAGGTGCTTACTAGTCTGACAAAAGCCTCAAAGAATAAACATGAATAAATAAATATTAATAAATATTAGTTTCTATTGTTTATGGGCTCCGCCGTCTACGATTAAAATGTTCATTGGACGCCTGTGAAAACAACCGAGGTGTAAAGTTTGAAAAAATCTGGAAAAATAAAACGAAAAATGACTTTCTGCAACAGGCAGCGCTCGCAGCTTGTACGCGTGTGAAAACAGAAGCGAAGGTGCTCAACACATCGTGGTTACATTAATAAAAAAAGTTGTGTTGTCTACCTCAGTCTTAAACTCTTCAGATCTTCTCTTGTCACATAAAGGAGGACGTCGTCCAACGTGTACTCCTCGTTCAGTATCTGGAGAGAACGACGAGAGAAGGTAAAGTACAAAGTACAGGGATTTATATTGAATACATCACTTGTATAAAGGCCTTCATCTTGTTTGAGGTTTAAATATAAAACGATCCCCACAGGATGGCCCCAGCTGACACCAACCCGGTCTATAGAGTCCTGGTCGGCGCCGTACAGCCTCAGCCAGCTGCTCAGCTCTGGGTCTTCATGTCTGTCTGCAGCCGGACTCCTCTGCTCCTGCAGGAGCACCGATGTCTGAGGACTCTCTGGATTAAAACACAGCGAGGAGACTCAGCTAGAACCACGAATAACTGCACAGCCACAAAAAATAAAAAGTGTGCAGAGGTAAAACCAAACTTTAAGAACTGCAGGTCCTGAAGGAGGCTCCAAAAACACACGCGATGAAAATATTTTACACCTGGAATAAATAAAGTTCCTGCTTGGTCCAAACCAAAACGAGCTAAACAAAGCCTTAATTATCAACACATTAAGGATTACTGAAATATAAAAAAAGGTTGGGCAAAAACCGACAGACACAATAAGTTAACAAGTATTTATAACTAGAGAAATATCATTTCCTGTGAAAATGCTTATTGCAGATGAACTTGCTGAAAAAAAAGCTGAAATTAGCTAAAAACATACTGAAATGTAGCTGAAATGGAAGAACAAGCCGAAATTAGCAGAAGAACGCAGAAAGAAAACATATTTGCTGAATTACGTTTAAATAAGCAGAAATGAGCGCAAAAATTAGGAAATTGGCAAAAAATTCTGAGAAGTAGCTGAAAAGACAGAAAGAAGCTTAAACTACCAGAAGAAAGCAGAAGGAGCTGAAATGAGCAAAAAACAATGTGAAATTAGCTGAAAAAGCTAAAATTAGCATACAACTGCTAAATAGTAGCTGAAACTAGGGGCCAAGATGGTGTAGGGGCAGGGCAGCCGACTCAGGACCCGAAGGTCCTGGGTTCAATCCCCGGTCATTGCACATCTCGTGGTGCCTCTGAGCAGGACACCCAATCTCAAATTGCTCCCCAGACAGCGTACATAGCTGCCTACTGCTCCACCTGGGTGTATCCCAGGTGTGATGGGTCAGTAGAAAAAGCTGAAACTTGCAGAAATAAGCAGAAAAAAGTTAATTAGGCTGAAAGTAGCAAACATTATCAGGAAAAATTAAAATTTACCAGAAAACAGCTGAAATTAGCTAAAAAAAAAGTTTTAAAAAGTAGCTGAATAGGTAGAACAAGCCTTAATTAGCAGAAGAATGCAGAAAGAACATATTTGCCCAATTAAGTAGAAAGAAGCAAAAATGAACAAAAAAGTGGAAATTATCTGAAAAAAGTATAAATTTGCCCCAAAAAGCTGAAAAGTAGCTAAAAAAACCCCAGAAAGAAGCTTAAATTACCATAAGGAAGTGGAGAGAGCACATTTTTGCTGAATTAGGCCGAAAAAAGTTGAAATGAGTGCAACAAAACGTAGAGTTAGCTGAAAAAGCTAAAATTAACATGAATTCAGTTCCATTCAATTCAAAAATACTTTATTAATCCCAAAGGGAAATTAAATGTTGTCGTAGCTCATCATCCTGGTTTCATTCCAGAGTTGTTATAGATGCTGAGCTGTGGGCAGGAAGGATCTCCTGCAAGGAATTCAAAGAATCTGGCCACAGATACTGATCCATCCACCTGGATCCAGCTTGCGGTCAGATCTGGCGGGCCTCTCGGTCCTCCTGGGCAGCAGGACTGCCCGACTGCTGGGTAGAATTCCTCCATGAGCGACGGTCACTCCTCCAGCAGTCTGCAGAGCTTCTCGTCACCACGGACAGACAGCTTACGGTGCCGGGGGATGATCCCGGTCCTCCCGTTGTCAAAAGCTGAGTTTCCCACCAGCTCCATGATCTTGGCGGTCAGGTACTTGAGCACAGCCGCCAGGTTGATGGAAATTCAACCAAGGTGCCTCCTTTTCAAATCATTTGAGGCTGTAGCTGATGTATTTGAGCTTTTGAGATGTTTATCAGCTGCTCCTGGTTGTTAAAAAACACCTTGTCGCCATGGTTACGCATCTTCCATCACGTCAGGAAGTCAGGATGCAAACAGTGGTCCAGTCTTTCACCGCACCCGGTGCAGGAAAACCTCCCCAGTGTGGAATTTTCAAGTCACGACTTGTGTGAAGTTTCAGCGGTGCATTCTCCTGCACTGACGTTTTTCACACATTTTAAATCAACTTGATCTTATTTAATCAACGTAAGACTGGAAGCTGCGATAGGTTTTACAAACACGGAGAAAAGACGTTTTATTAAAAAGAAAAAGAAAAAAGGTGCAGACCTGCGGGCTCAGATCGCATCTTCAACAATCTGATTTCCTGCTCTCTTTCCTCCAGCACTTGTTGCAGAATGGTTTGATACTCCCTCTCCTTCTGCAGCAGCTCCTCCAGCAGCCTGGAGTCAAACGAAGGGATCGAAACACAAACAGCATTTTATTTCACAGATTCTCTGCTCATTTCTGCTCATGAACGACAGATTCAGACAACCGACCTGTTGGTTTCCAGCTTCATCCTGCCCAGCTCCATGCTCACGGAGCGCTGGGCATTGTGGGATTCGTGGGACACGGTGGAGCTCAGGGTGCTGACTCCCGACGTGGCCACGGTGTCGTCGTGAGCGGCGACGGCGGGCGCTCGACTCTGGTGGGCGGAGTTTCTGCAGGGCTCTGCGTCGTCGTCGATATCCTCCTGATCGGCCGGGTCGCTTTCTGAGGCCAGGCTGAAGTGAGGCCTCAGCTCTGGAAGCAGAGCACAACGTGACGGTCGTGTTCACAACAAACAAAACAACAAAAATAAACAAACAAGCAACAAAAAAGAATGGAAATACCAAGAAAACAAAACAAACGAACAAAAAAAGACTCAAAGGCAAAACAAAACATCAAAATGAATAATAAACGAACCAAAACAAAATAAAATCAATGAAAAAGTCTAAAGAACAACAACAACAACAAAAAAAGAATCCCAGACATATATACAAAAATCTAACCAAAAACAAACAACAATGGAAAAACTCAAATAAGAACAAAGAAAATAAAACAACAACCAAAAACAAAAATAAAATTTAAACAAACAAAACAACAAAAGAAGCAGAACACCAAAAAACTAAACAAAAAAACAGTCAAAGGAACAATAAAACATCAAAATGAACAAAAAAACAAACAAAAAAAAAAAAAAAACAACCAAAACAAAAAGAAAATTTACACAAAACAACAAAAAAGAACCAAAATACCATAACAAAAAAAAAAAAAAACACTCAAAGGAACAATTAAACATCAAAGTGAACAAAAATCAGACCAAAACAAAAACAAAATAAACAACAATGAAAAAAATCCAAAGAGCAAAAACAAACAAACAAACAAAAAAACCCTTTGCTGTCCTGCTGCACTTCTCTACAATTTGTTTATTTAAAATAATACCATATTTAAATTGTTTATTTACACAGAAGGTGGAAGATCAGGAGTAAAACTTGAACTTTGACTACTGTATCCCTATTTCACGGTTTTTCACTTATCCCGGGGGGCGTGGTTCCCTAAACCCAGTGATAAATGAGGGACTACTGTACATAATAATAAAAATAATAGATAATAATGTCTAGTACAGCTAAAATAAGTTAATATTAGCTGTCAATACAGCGCGTTGGAATGATTTAGGAGAATACACTTCTGTGAAAACAGCTAAAACTGCATGTTTCTCAGCTTCAGTTTGTTTCACTGAGTTTTCTTCAATCATCAACACCTGAGTAAGAACCACACTTCTATCCTCTCTTCATGTTCCTAATTAAATCTGATCATAGACTTCTCTGTTCAGATCCTGCGTTTGTCAGTGAGTTTGGCCCTGAGGGGTGAAGCGGGGGTGGGGCACAGTTTAAATTCATTTAGAAGTGCTCTGTTTGTGATGCTGATGATGCTACCTGGCACCAGGATGGTGATGGCCGTCTGCACAGCTTTACGGATGATGTTGTCCAGAGCAAACATCCAGTGAGGCTTGATGTTGTGGTTTCGCAGCACTTTGTTCACCTGGAAACACGAACATTCGTAGAACATTGAATATGTTAATTTTTCTCGCTCTCTCTGCAGATATTTAATCGTGCACCGCAGATCAAACGTCTCCATCTAGGCTTGATTTGATGCACTCATGACCAACAGGAGGCAGCGGAGCTCCTTTCTGTTTTATATTATGCAAGAGTCCATACAGAAATGAAAACAACCATTTGTTCATGTGTCATTTCATCTGCATTTCAGAGGGAGACACAAATGAGCCCATTACTCCCAGCAGACCCTCTGTTTTATTACAGCTTATGAGTATTTTTCAGCTATTTGTCTGACTGTGCAGGAAGAGGAAAAAGACGAGCTGCTGTCTGCGTCTGGTGCCAGCTTTAACAATAAACCGTTCGTGAGGCACCTCCTCTACAAAACCAGGACGGGTAATCGACAGGAAGTCACTTGACTCTGGGGTATTTCATTGCTGCAATTTAAATTTAAAATACCAAGAGGAAGTACCCAATATCAATGGCTTAACCGTTAGCATGAACGCTAAATGAAATGGAGACGTTGAAAAAGAATGCTAGAAGCTAAAAGAAGAAAAACACCAACTTCAAGGTAAATTTGCAAAATGCGATTAAAAAGATAAAAGAAGCAAACTGCTTGTTTAAAACTAAAAGAAGAAAAGCAGGAGCTTAAATTAGCAAAAGTCCAACTAAAAGCTATAATTAGCAAACAAAGACAAAAATAAAGTGTTTAAAAGAGAACAAGGTTGTTGAAGGAACTGAAAGATCTCAGTGTATTTCTACAAGGATTTATTTTAGGCAAATTAAGTTAAATATTTTGAAAAGTGTGAACAGTACACACAAGAAGTCATTTTGACATTTGATTGGTTAAAATAATAAGCATGCAGACGCAGCCACGTATCAAAATATAAAGAATAAAGAGAAACAGAACCGCTACGGTGTGATTCAGCATTCTCCCTATGGCATTAGAGAATTAGCACTACAGTGGGTGTCCAGTTATTTGAATAATAGGAGACGGTTTGTAAAGGTAAACGATGTAAGATCTGAATTTTGTGTTAATGGATGTGGAGTTCCTCAGGGACCTGTGTTGGGACCAAAGTGGTTTATTTTGTATGTGAATGATCTGGTTGATGTGTCGGGGCTTTCGAAGTGTGTTTTATTTGCAGATGATACCACATTTTTTTTTGTTCGGGCGAAGATATTGAACGGATGTTAGAGACGATACAGGCAGAATTCGTAAAAATACAAACTTGGTTTAATAAGTTCTCATTAAACTTGGAAAAAACAAACTACATGATATTTAGTAATGGAAAGAAAATGATCAAAGTCCCATTTAAAATTGACAATATTGAAATTCATAGAATTAATGAAATAACTTGTTAATGTTTTTAAATTTAATGTATACATGAATAAATAAATAAATGGTGATTCTGTTTCTTTCACAAACACATGTTGGTTTCGGTGTCAGAAAATAAATAAATAAATAAATAAATAATAAATAATAATAATAATAATAAATAAATATTCTGCTGACACTCACAGCATCCTGGAAGCTGAACAGCACGACCTGCAGCTGGCTGATGGCGGTGCTGTCAAAGTCCAGCTCCAGCTTGAGTTGAGACAGGGTGCTGGCGATGATTTTCCTGTCGGCCATGCGCACAAAGTCCGCCAGGCTCACCACGAGGGTGGAGATGTGCTGAGGTTTTAGCTTGATCTCCTCAGAGCCCTGGGGATCAAATACGACAACAGAGATGTGGGTTTCTACGTGACAGAAGTGCTGACTACATCCAACCGCCGTTTGTTGATGTTCTTCCTTCACCAACCTGTGTGAGGGCCTCCATCAGGTTGGCTACAACCTTCTCCCGGTCCTCGGTCAGGATTTGGTGCAGGGTGGCTCGCCGCTCGCTGTCCTTACGAAGCATAAAGAAGCCCGCGTCCTTCTCATCGGGAGACGGAGGAGCACTGTGGTCCTCAAAGTTCTCCACTGGGATGCTGAGAAGACACAAATATTTAAAAACTCTGGACTTATTTAAAAGTTTATTTCTCATGTTGCCAGGTTAGATCCAGGTTAGATCCAGGTTAGATCCAGGTTAGATCCAGGTTAGATCTGTTTGATTAAATGAGGAATAGTTCAGTGCTGAAGTGCTCAAAGGCTGAGGCTGAGATGAAGACACTTCTAATTATTTATTTTTAACATCACGTAGATGGCCTTGAATAAAGACAGTTCTAAAACTAAAAAAAACAAAAAACTTTTTTTTCTGTTTTTGTGAGATGAATTGTTCTCTCAGACTTTTTTTTGTTAATAATAATATAATAATAATCATGAAAACCTTAAAAGATCAAAAGGTTCAATCCAAACAAAATGGCAGCAAAACACATTTTACACTTCATGTTGTTTTGATAGTAAAATAGATTTAGTAAAATAGATTTAGTAAAATAGATTTAGTAAAATAGATTTAATTTGAGGAGTGGACAAACTGTTGTATAGACAGTTACAGTTCTGAGGTTATAGCTGAAAACGGTGCAACGTCGATCCAAACTAGAGAAATTGCATTTCCTGAGAAAATGCAGTGCGCTGAAGAACTTGTCGAAAAACAGCTGAAACTAGCTAAAACATGCTGAAATGGAAGAAAAAGTCTGTTAGTAAAAAAAAATTAAAAAAAGCAGCAATAAAAATAAGCAGAAATGAGCATAAAATTTAGGAAATTAGCAAAAAAAAAAATAGTTGAAAAGGCAGAAAGAAGCTTAAAATACCAGAAAGAAGTGGAAGGAGCTGAAATGAGCTAAAACATGTGGGATAAGCTGAAAAAGCTAAAACTAGCAGAAAAAAGGCTGAAACGAGCATAACAATCTGAAATTAACAGAAAGAAGTTAATTAGGCTGAACGTAGCAGAAAAACTTGAATTTATCTGAAAACAGCTGAAATTAGCTAAAAATGCTGAAAAGGTAGAACAAGCTTAAATTAAGAGAAGAAAGCAGAAAGAACACTTGTTTGCTGAAAGAAGCAGAAATTAGCACAAAAAGTGGAAATTATCTGAAAACGGCTAAAATTTGCTGAAAGTAGCTGAAAACTATCTAAAAAGCACTGACGTTACAAGAAGGAAGTGGAGAGAGCACACTTTTGCTGAATTAGGCTGAAAAAAAGTTGAAATAGAGTGTAAAAATGTGAAAAAGGCTAAAATTAGCATAAAAACAGCTAAATAGTAGCAGAAAAAGATGAAACTAGCAGAAATGAGTTGAAAGGAGCATAAGCTGAAATTAGTAGAAAGAAGTCAATTAGGCTGAAAGAAGCAGGAATAAAAGTAGAAATTATCTGAAAACAGCTGCAATTAGCTGAAAGCAGCTGAAAAAGGTTAAAAAATGTGTATAAAGAAGCTGAAAGAAGCTGAACCAGAACAAAATGTGAAAGGAGCTGTAAAAGGTTGTAAACAGATCTAAAGATTTGAAAGATGTAAAATGAGCTCAATTCATTTTCTATGATAAAAAAAAAAATGGCAGAAAAGGCTAAATATTTCAAAAAGCTAAAGTTACATCGATACCAAACGTTGTAACAGGAGAAAGAGCTAAACGTTTTCATATATGATTTGTTGATACAGCTTAAAAACTGCGGGACGAGAAGCGCGCCGGAAACGTACGGAAGAAAAATGGATGACAATAGTGTGAACGCTTCATGAACATTAAAGTGACTCGTTGGTTTTTCACTTCCTCTTGTCCTACCTGAGAAAGAGGGACCTCGGCCCCTTGACGTCCCGCTCGCTGTAGCACTTGCCGCTGGGCTTGAAGATGAAGGGGTTGGTGTTGAGGTCGTTGTCAGGGGAGACGGAGCCGTACTCGCTGCTGCTGCTGGTGTCCTCCACCACCACCGGCACCGGCAGGGAGATGCTGCGGAGGTACTCTGACGAACACAACACATCAAATTAGAGGGAGGCCGTGTCTCTCATTAAAGCTTTCAGGGGCATGATTTAATAGTCTAAAGAATTACGAAGCAGATTCTAAACACTTTCAAGCATCTCGATACGTTTTGCTCGTGTTTTAAGTGCGTGGAAAGAGAGGAAGACGTGGAAAGTGAAAAACGTAAACTGCGGTTGAAGGACGCAGCAAAGCAGGCAGACGTTTCATAAATCAGACCCGTGCTTGGCAAAGCAGACCAACTAGTGGTAAATAAGTCTGAACATATGTGCTAAATGCTAAATTTACTCACCTGATCCGGAGGACGGAGCTACACGGGGGCAGAAAAGAGAGAAATGAGCGTCAGCAGTTTATTCAGAACATGATTTCGACACGCAGGATAACACGGGAGATTAAAAACTGTTTTCTAATCTGATCCACTGGTGACGCAGCATGACTGAGCTGCTGCTGTGGGTAAACCCCGAGAAGAGCGCCGAGAAAAAGGAAAGAAGGATGTGTTTTCAAAAACAAACCAAACTGGATGAAACAGCAATACACAAATTGAGCTACAATCTTCACATTACCGTAATTTCTGGACTATAAGCCGCTATTTGTTTTCCACAGGCTTTGAACACCGCAGCTTATACAATGCTGTGACTAATTGATGGATTTTTTATTTTATTTTTGATGGACTAACGAGCTTCACGCCGTCAAAACATTCAGCCTCGACACACTCGGGCGCTCACATAGCTGCCCAATCCACGACTTTCTTGGAGGGTGGGTCCTCGCAACTCAACGAGACTACTTGTATAAATAAATGTTAAACAAAATAAAATAATCTGACCAATGAAATTACCGAACAGGTCACGGTGGGGAGGAGGGAAACGTCATTTCCCCGTTCTCTCCTCCCTGTTGTGAACACAATGAAGTATTTGCAGCCACACAATCGTGCATTAATGTGCCAGGTTCCGAGTGAAGGGAGCGATCTATGACTTCCTGGTATAGGCTGCTGTATTTTTTTTAACCGGCTGTGTTACAGGTACTGTTGAGCAAAAAATAAAATAAATACAATTTACTGTATGTATTTGTGTATGTTACAGCTACGTATTTAATTAAAGTAAAAAATATATATATTTCTGTGTAAATATCTCAAGTTACATCGTGGACACCCGCGGCTTATACACAAGTGCGGCTTATATATGTACATTTTATTTTTATTTAGTGGGCGTGACTTATATTCAGGTGCGCTTAAAAGTCCGGAAATTACGGTAAGTGATTCATTTGCCCCATACATATATTTTAGGATTAAACTTCCTTAGCTCTCTGCGTATCAATAACTACATTATGGTTAACAAATCATTATTATATAAATAAACGTCTTGATGATGCTAGCTGGTAGGACTGCTAAACAACTTGTGACTTTTAATAAATAGTATTTTTCTGTAGTTATGTAAGATGGTGGATTCCCCCTGACAAACAGTTGTTGTTTTAAAGTTAAAGGACATTTGAGAGTTAATTAAAGTAAAACTTTGTTTTAAATTTTTTGGGACCCAATTCTTTTCATTAATTTTTTTTTTGTTGCTCCTAAAGCATTTTATGGAATGTTTTGCATGTTGCCATTATTTCTTTAAAGCGAACCGGCTGCTTGTGGTAGATTCGTAATCACCTCTAAAATATAGATGTTATCAATCTTCTTATCTAAATTAGCATCTAAACTGGCAATCCCTAAAACGAAACCATCTATCAAGCCCGTTCGTTGCCATTTACACACATTAAAAACAATTCCTGCTCCACTGATTCATGAAAAGTTTCACGTTCAGATTATTTTTTTTACTGCTTTTAGCATGACAAGAATATGAGTACACAGTTTTGCATGATGGAGAAGTAACGGCAGTTACAAATATGGAAAAAGTATAAATGATGGCTAAAGCTTTTACTAAAATTCATAGTTCAAACAATATTAACCAAGAAGGAAAAAAGAGGAAGAGAGAGAATACCATCACAGAGAATAGAAAGTTCTTAGAAGAGGAAGGTGAAAGTGATTCATTAAATATGCCATTCAGTAAAACTGAATTAAATCGAGCACTTCCAAAATGTGGAATATCTGCACCAGGAAATTATCAGATGTTAAATAATGGTAAAACATCACAGTGAGTCATCAAAATACATAATTTCAGTTTTATATAACAGTCTGGGAGGAAGGAAAACTACCAGAGTCCTGGATGGAAGCCATAATAATCCCAACACGAAAACCAGAAAAGGATGATACCAAACCAGAGAACTATAGACCAGTAGCATTAACATCTAACGTTTGCAAAATTATGGAGAAGATGGTAATGGACAGATTAACAGACTATATAGAAAATGAATAAAAGGTGTTGTCAAATTATCAAAGTGGTTTTAGAAAATGACGAAACGCGATGGATCCAGTCTTGTGTCTTGAACGTGAAATCAGAAAATCTCAGATTAATAAAGGAAGTGTTGCAGCCGTTTTAAAGCATCTGACATGACGTGGAGAGCGGGATTAACTGGAAACAAATGGGCACCACAGGTCGAATGTTTAAATGGATAAAAGAGTTTCTATCAGAAAGAAAAATACCGATGAGAAAAGGACAAGATTATTCAAAAAAATATTCCATATAAAACGGGATACCACAGGGAAGTATAATAAGCCCTTTATTATTCTCCTTAATGATCAATGATATGTTTGATAATATAGAAAGTGGGACGGAAGATCGTCATTCGCTGATGAAGGGGCTTTGTGGAAGAAAGTTTACTATTAAAAAGGTACAGAAAGCAATTATGACTGTTGAGAAATGTATAGATAGGGATTAAAATTTTCAATAGAAAAGACCAAAGTAGTATTTTTCACAAGAATAAAATACATTTAATATTGTTGAATTTAGTTTATATGGACAAGTTCTTGAAAGAGAGAAACAATTTAAATTTCTTGGGTTTATGATTTGATGAGAGAGTAACACGAGCATTTTGAACTCCTAATTCTCACTTCCATTGAAAACACGACGAGCTCAGTCAAGCAAAGTTTTTAGCAACAACTTTGTGAAATGAACTCACTACTGAGGCTGCTCTTGCTCTTCTTCCTGCGGCTGGTGACGGTGAGGAACTCGTCGGTGAGCAGGTCGAAGGCGGTGGCTCGCCGGTCCGGGTCGGGCTCGAAGCAGCGCAGGATGAAGGCTTTGGCCTCCATCGACATGGACTCTGGGATTTCTGGATGGATCTTAAACATGCCCACCTGCCAACAAAAGAGACAAAATCAAATCTTTCAAGGTAAAAACAATTAAAAGATCTAATTTTTTTTGTTTATTTTTGTATTAGTTTCAGGCAGTAAGAACACAAACAATGTTTCCATATCAAGGTTTGATCATGTTAGACGGTTGTTCGGGTCCAAGCAGTATCTTGGTGAAAAATAAGTGCAAAAACATCCGTACTGATAAAGACTTTGGAAAGTTCCTGTCACTAAAGCAAAGATTTGTTTATTAAGATCAGCACGAAGAAACCTCTCCTCTTAAAGATCACTTTAGACAACTTTAAATTTGTAATTGCGCCGCTCCAGGTGGCTGCATGTTGGAGCAGCTCTGTTACTTTCATTCTGAGATTTTGCTTTTGGAAACTTTAATTCCTCTTTTTCTGGATGTAAATCACATTTTTTGGATTATTGTTTCCTCTGGTATCAGATGCTGTGCAGCTGGAAGGATTTTTACTGAAACTTTTTTAGTTTTGGACATTTGTTATGATGTGTAACCATGGCAACAAGGCAGTTTTCTACAACAGCAGCAGCTGATTAACATCTCAAAAGCTCAAATAATATCTCAACTACAGCCCCATATCTCAGATGAGTTGAAAAGGATGTTCTGTGGACGCATTCTCATCTACCTGCCAGCTGTGCTCGAGTACCTGACCACTGAGATCCTGGAACTAGCAGGAAACACGGCTCATGACAGCGGAAGGACAGGATCGTCCCTCGGCACCTACAGTTGGCTGTCCGCAGCGACGAGGAGCTCGGCAGACTACTGGGAGGAGTGGCCATCGCTCTGGGAGGAGTTCTGCCCAGCATTTGGACGGTCCTACAGCCTGGAGGAACTGAGAGACCTGCCGAGTCTGGGTGGACGGATCGGACGGCATCTGCAACCAGTTTCTTAGGATCCACTGTGGGATGGACCTTTACAAGAGATCCTTCCTGTCTACAGACATCAGCATCTATAACGTCTCTTTATGAAATGAGGATAACGAGTTACAACAACAAATAATTTCCCTCTGGGATTAATAAAGTATTTTTGAATTGATTGAATTGAATTGAATATAGTTGTATATGTATCCTGCAAATTAAAGGGTCTTTGTCCAAATACTTACGTAAATCCAAGTTTTTCTATTTAGGGTTTCTACAAGTTGTAAAATACAACAATATTTAAACTGCCACCTTATTTAGGTTTGCAGCCCTTTAATTAAATCACTTTATAAGGGAAAATCCCATGGTTAGAAGCTTCGACATAAGTGCTGTAATGTTTTCCAGACGTCTCTTCAACCTATATACAATCCTTAATGAGCTACACACAGTTACGAACAATAATTTGCTCGAGTGCTCTAAAAATTTCCATCTGCGTCAAAAATGCCATGTAAACCGACAGGATGAATGTTTCAAACAAGAGACGCTCGTACAGGTTGCTCTCCTGAGGCCGCACGTGTTTTTGTTCAAACAAATGTTCGTGCAAAAGTGGCGTTTCGAGTTTCAGCTGGACTTGATCGTGTTGCAGGTGGTAACACAATGCAGGCACACCAAAGCTGATCACTGGTTAGGTTTTCATAAAGTGACGGCTTGATATAACTTTATTTGAAATGATGGATGAGTTTAAAGCAATAAATGACCAAAGCAGTGCAGGTTTTACAGATTAGGGCTTCGGCACAAAACACTACACGCATAAAGCAAAATGGTGTCTAAAGGCTAATACGCTAAAAAAAATCTTGTTTAAAGCACTCTTGTCATTAAAGACTTAATAAGAAGCATTTATTCTCTATTTTAACTTACGTAGATCTATACATAAAACACATTAATGAAAAAAAAAACACAACAGTAGCTCATGCATTATTATAAAATAGTGCACTATAAAAAAAAACATTTTAGAAACTTCTTTAACATATAATTTTACTGTAGTATCACTTAACCTGAGCTAATAAACTATGTTGTAATGTTGTTCATTCTCCCCTAAAACAAAAACTTATTGGTTTAATACAGGGCTTAATTTGAGCCAGATCTTGCCGGAACAGGATCCGGGAACTATCTTATTTTGACAGGGTGCATTCCAGTAACTGTTTGCTTGGATCCGGTAACTCTCACGCTTACAAATAATAAAGTTACGAACAAATCTGACTGCCTTGAATGAATAAAACTTATATTGGATATGTAAACTGAAAATAATTACATAAACACTCATTTTAAACATAACAGTCACTTACAAGGTTCTTAATATCACATTCGAGTAGCATTTCCGCCTCTACCCTTAAAAAAATCTCCCTCTAAAAGAGTGGGTGGGGAGACTTCCCAGATAACCAGGCAGTCGTGTGTGCGGGCACGAGCATGTGGAGTCGGACGCCAACGAGTAGGGACGGTGTCGGGCTCGGAACCATCAAGTAAGTGGGAGGTGGTGGGGGTGGTGGTGGTGGGTAGGATGCTTGACAGAAGCAGAGTGTTTACAAATATAGGTAAACATAAATGTTTAACCACCTGTTAAAATACACCAAAATGCAAATGCAGGAAACAGCATGTACTTTATTTAAAATGTTCTGGGGAGGACCTCCCCCTGCCCCACCCCACTGCCCCGCCCACTATTAGTGCTCCGGGGTTGATCGGTTTACAAATGAAGCTCTAGTTTAATATAAATATTAGATACAACAATTGACCTGACTTTGACAAACAATTCCTTGAAATACTCCAGATAACCCACCAAAGATCCTTAGTGAGCGCTTAGCACTTGGAGTATGTGACAGAGATGACACTCAGTTACTACCACATGGTAATAACGGGGCGGCTGTGGCTGAGTGGTTAGAGCAGTCGTCCTCCAGTGCAAGAGTTGGGGGTTTGAATCCACCAGCAGTCACATGCCAAAGTGTCCCTGGGCAAGACACTGAACCCCTCATTGCCTCTGATGTACGTCCCATCAGTGTATGAATGTGATAAAGCGCTGATTAGTCTCTTTAGAATGATTTGTTCAATTAGCTTTATAGAGCTCTAGTAGAGTGATGTATGAATGGGTAAATGAGGGCACTAGCACTATCTTGATAAGATAGAAAGGCGCTATATAGTTCATTTACCATTGACCACACCAAATTTGAGCTTAATAGTGGTAAAATTAACCGAGTTACAGCCATTGTTGTGTAAAGTTCAGTAATTTTTCACAAGTGTTCAAACCGACATGTTGAGAGCGACTCCATTGTGATTTTTCTGCTTGCTCTTCGAAGTTGCTACAATATTCATGTAAGCACGTCAGTTTTGTGTCTCTGCTTTTCTGATAATATGTTTTTTTTAAAAAGTCAACATTTTTTTTGTACGTTTGTGGAGAGGGTGGGGTCGCCATAAAAGTAGGTTTTGTACGCTTTTGAAATAGTTGGAAATTGTGAATCAACCCCATTGTGTTTTGGAGGCCACTTTTTTTTTTTTGTCTCGACTCTAAAGAGTAACCAATTAGAGAGAAACATGCAATAATTAAGTTTCATTAAAATCTGCCCAGTGGTTCATGAAACGTTTTGCTAACAGCAAGACAGAGGCAATTATATTATTTTTGTGAGCAATAAAGCCATAATAACTCTATTAATTAAAAAATATTATTAAATTAAATTATTTTATTTCTTGGGGTTGAGTGTTGACAGCCAGTGCAGAGCGTTGAAAATTCTTTTACCGCAGTATTTATTAGTAGATTGACAGGAGTTCATTATCAGCCAGCTTTTTTTTCCCAAATCCGTCACACCTCCTCTGGCAATATTGTGAGCGAAGTTCTTTAAACATGTGAGAAAAGAAGCTTTCATTTTGTCTTCAGACCAGTGCCAGAGAACCGTTTCAGTTTCGCTACAATTAATCTGGCTGATTGTCTGCCAGCAGGGCAGACAGGATAATCCAGCTCTGAGCAGGAGTATTAATGTAATACTGTACAACACCAACACAAAGGAGGAGGTGAGGGCTTTGTCAACTCTTTAAATACAGTATTCAGTAAAAAAAAGGTGGGTTGAAAATGTTCTAACCTTTCGAAATTTTGATGTCAGTCCCAAAGTTTGCTCGTAATATAATATTATTTAACGTAAACCCTAAAAGGCGTTTTTCCCTAAAAGAGATGGTAACAAACAAGTTGATGGTTAGCATGGGCTTGAAAAGGTTAACAAGTATATATCTGCTTGATTTTTTTTTATTAATAAGAAAAACATTTTGAAGGAATGAAACACTGTTTACCGCATTACATCTGTAAAATAAAGAGGGGGTAAAAATAAATTGAGATTTAGGCCTGCAAGTTGGCTTGAAGGGATATCAAACTACTTTCACATATTGGCCTTAACATGTTCTCTATTCTACTTAAAAGTTGTTGTTTGTGACACAGGAAAACTCCTAGTTACTTTAAAAAATTGTATATGTTTATTACATTTTTCACTTAAGGACATCACCCGTTTATTGTCATTCATTTCCGGTGCAATGCATTCTGGGGCAATGGCGTACATCAGTTGTAATGAACACTAAAACACAAGGAGTAAAGGTATTGTATTGGTCTTTACGCACAATATATGGGACGAAACAATCAAACGTGATCAACTTCTGATGTTAAATTTAATAGCTCTAAAGCTATTGCCATATATATTAACTCTAAAGCAAATGTCATATTATCTCTGGAGCTAACGCTAGTAGTTCTGGAGCTAGTGCTATTAGCTCCAGGGCTACACCATCGACCATGAGATCCTCATTGCTAGGTTGGACCAGTGGGTGGGCATCACAGGGTCAGCCCTCAATTTTTTCAGATCCTACCTCACTGACAGATCCTTTTGTGTTTCCATCAAGGATTTTAGTTCTGCAGCGACATAGCTTAAATGGGGGGTTCCGCAGGGGTCCATCCTGGGTCCCCTCCTATTCTCTCTATACCTGCTGCCACTTGGTGCTATTTTCCGGAAACACAACATACCATTTCACTTCTACGCCGACGACTGTCAAATTTACTTCCCCCTAAGACACAATGGCACATGCTCTATTCAGCCTCTGCTCGACTGCCTGGCTGACATCAGGGACTGGATGGCTTTAAACTTCTTAAGTTTCAATGAAAAGAAGTCTGAATCATGTTGTTCCCTCCCAATGACACGATCACAAACCACTGCATCGACCTTTCCACTCTAATCCTGTCAGAAAAACAAAGAGTCACTAATCTGGGAGTGATAATGGACCCTTCCCTGAAACTTAACAATCATGTAAACATGATTGTTAAATCATGCTTCTTCCACCTGAGGCAGCTGTCTAAACTGAAGCCCATATTGTCCAAAAATAACCTGGAGACAGTAATACATGCATTCATTACATCAAGGCTTGATTACTGCAATTCGCTCCTGTTTGGCATCAGTCAGACCTCCACTGCACGACTACAACTGGTCCAGAATGCAGCAGCCCAATTTTTAACCAGTACAGGCAAAAGAGAGCACATTACACCAGTTTTGGCCTCACTGCACTGGTTACAGGTTCACCTTCGAATCCAGTTCAGAATACTCCTGTAGGTCTATAAATTGCTGAACAGTGTCGCCCCCCCATCTCTCTGATTTGCTACAACCGTATGTCCCACCACGTTCCCTGAGGTCAGCGGACCAGTTGCCTCTCACAGTTCCAGGAACTCGTCTTAAGCGCAGGGGGGACAGGGCCTTCTCTGTAGCAGGACCAAGACTTTGGAACGAGTTACCTCTGCTTGTCAGACAGGCCCCCTCCCTCTCGGTTTTCAAGTCCTGTTTAGAAACTCACTATTATTCAGTAGCTTTCAACACCAGAGGATCTGTGTTTTGAACCTGTATGCTCCACACTGGTTTGTTGTCATATTTATTATCTGCATCGATTTTATGTCTATATTTTTGATTTACTTCATTTTGTATATTGCTTTGTGTGTTGCCTGTTGTTCTGTCTGTACAGCACTTTGGTTGGCCTTGTAGCTGTTTTAAGTGCTCTATAAATAAAATGGTATGGTATGGATAACACCATATATATTAACTCAAAAGCTAATGCTTATATATATATATATATATATATATATATGCATTCTGGGTAAATTATATATATATATAGATATATATAAATATAAATATATATTAGCTAATAGCTACGGAGCTAATGCTATTAATGATTAGTTATTTTTCCATTCTCCTCTCTGTTAACGTACTCTGGTTCAAATTAAAGGCTGAACGTCAGATAATGTCCAAACTTAACATTCAAGCTGAATGGAGCTCGCACCGGAGCAACCTGTCTAGATAATTTACCCAGAATGCATTGCAGCATGAATAAAATGGTGATGACCGTGTGTCATTCCTTTTATTTATTTTTTTATTATAAAAACTAAACAACCTATCGAAACGTCTCTCAACAAAAACAAGAAACTGTCCAGATGACCTGACTGAACATTGTTGGATTTTTTTACCTGGATTACCGATTATGAACCGTGATGTAAACAACCTACAGTATTTTTATGGTCTTGTTTTTATAGTTGAAGTAATTGTTTATCAAATACAATCTATTGTTCGAACTACTCGGAGAACCTTTTGAATTACAGAACGAGCACTAAATTAAGCAATAGTCTTTATACTTTGACTCAACGCTAACAGACCTTCTAATATGACTTTGGCTGCATGTTGTTACTACCAACAACAACCTATTGTTAAAGTATTTATTAATATTTTTTATGTTAAAACAGGATTTTAAATTCTCCAGGCTGCTGTGCAAGACAGTCCCTTATTATTAATGATGTCTTACTAAGATTTTTAAGCAAACTTGATGATATTCAGGTCATATTTCAAAACCAATACAGTAAATACTATAAGTTACAATCCAACTGTAATGCTGTTTTTACATGCACTAACATTAATATAATCAGTGGCAGCTGTTCATGGGCACAGTTGATCCGTCATGTTATTTGTGGGGTAAGCTGCAGCTAACATCTCTCACCTTGAACATGGCAGCTTGTGGTTCTCCGAGTTCATAGAAAGGTGGTTTACCAGTTGCCATTTCTATGATGGTGCAGCCCAGGGACCAGATGTCTGCTGGTTTTCCGTACCCCCGCGGACCCTTGTCGATAATTTCAGGAGCCATATATTGCAACGTGCCTGGAAAACAAAGAAAATATATCAACAACACTGGAACACAACTGCGTAAAAGTTACTTTTGACTTCTAGCTTTGTTTTGTGTCAGATTTAATTAAAAAAGCAGTAACTTGATGAGCACCGCCTTCTATTTTTAGGTTATTTAGGGAATAAAAATAGCCTATTTTATTGTCCCCTGTTGAGGAGCGAAAAAGGGGGAATTAGAAATACGCTCCTCGAAATACAGTGAACGTTGTGAGTGTGATAACTTAAAAAATAAACGAGATACCAACTTCCATTTTGGTGTGTGGCTTCATCTAGGTGTAACAAAGGAGCCAATTGAAAAGTGGGCTACCACGTCAAAATCCAAGATGGCTGCCACAATATGTGTCTGTGTGTGTGTGTGTGTGTGGGGGGGGGGGGGGGGGGGGGTGTAAACTTTACACCCCTATCATTTGAGGAACCTATGTTTTCTATATATAATGTTGCTTAAAAGTATACAGTGCCATGCGAAAGTATTCGGCCCCCTTGAACTTTTCAATCTTTTGCCACATTTCAGGCTTGAAACATAAAGATATCAAAATTGTAATTTTTTTGTGAAAAATCAACAACAAGTGGGACACAATCGTGAAGTGCAATGAAATTTATTGGATGTGTCAAACTTTTTTAACAAATAAAAAACTGAAAAGTGGGGCGTGCAATATTATTGGGCTCCTTTACTTTCAGAGCAGCAAACTCAGTCCAGAAGTTCAGTGAGGATCTATGAATGATCCAATGTTGTCCCAAATGACTCATGATGATAAATAGAATCCACCTGTGAGTAATCAAGTCTCCGTATAAATGCACCTACTCTGTGATAGTCTCAGGGTTCTGTTCAAAGCGCAGAGAGCATCATGAAGACCAAGGAACACACCAGGCAGGTCCGAGATACTGTTGTGGAGAAGTTTAAAGCCGGATTTGGACACAAAAAGATTTCTCAAGCTTTAACCATCCCAAGGAGCACTGTGCAAGCAATCATATTGAAAAGGAAGGAGTATCAGACCACTGCAAATCTACCAAGACCCGGCCGTCCCTCTAAACTTTCATCTGGAACAAGGAGAAGACTGATCAGAGATGCAGCCAAAAGGCCCATGATCACTCTGGATGAACTGCAGAGATCTACAGCTGAGATGGGAGAGTCTGTCCAGAGGACAACAATCAGTCGTACACTGCACAAATCTGGCCTTTATGGAAGAGTGGCAAGAAGAAAGCCATTTCTCAAAGAGCTCCATAAAAAGTGTTGTTTAAAGTTTGTCACAAGCACCTGGGAGACACCAAACATGTGGAAGAAGGTGCTCTGGTCACATGAAACCAAAATCCAACTGTTTGGCCACAATGCAAAACGATATGTTTGACGTAAAAGCAACACAGCTCATCACCCTGAACACACCATCCCCACTGTCAAACATGGTGGTGGCAGCATCATGGTCTGGACCTGCTTTTTGTCAGCAGGGACAGGGAAGATGGTCAGAATTCATGGGAAGATGGATGGGGCCAAATACAGGACCATTCTGGAAGACAACCTGTTTGAGTCTGCAAGAGACCTGAGACTGGGACGGAGATTTATCTTCCAACAAGACAATGATCCAAAACATAAAGACACATCTACAATGGAATGGTTCACAAACATATCCAGGTGTTGGAATGGCCAAGTCAAAGTCCAGTCCTGAATCCAATCGAGAATCTGTGGAAAGAGCTGAAGACTGCTGTTCACAAACGCTCTCCATCCAACCTCACTGAGCTCCAGCTGTTTTGTAGGAAGAATGGGCAGAACTTCAGTGTCTCCATGTTCAAAACTGACAGAGACAAACCCCAAGAGACTTGCAGCTGGAACTGCAGCAAAAGGCGGCGCTACAAAGTATTAACGCACGGGGACCCAATAATATTGCACGCCCCACTTTTCAGTTTTTTATTTGTTAAAAAAGTTTGACACATCCAATAAATTTCATTCCACTTCACGATTGTGTCCCACTTGTTGTTGATTCTTCACAAAAAATTCAAATTTTATATCTTTATGTTTGAAGCCTGAAATGTGGCAAAAGGTTGAAAAGTTCAAGTGGGCCGAATACTTTCGCAAGGCACTGTACAAATATAAATAAAATTACTCCCTCCACTTGCTTGGATCAGTCAATCAGCACCACCTTGAAAAAAAAAAAAAAAAAAAAAAACACCACCACCCTATCTTTCTTCTTCTACAGTGTTAACTCCTACCCACTTGAATATCTCGCACCAAAAACATAAAGGTTTATCTGCATTTCCTGTTCAATTCCAATCCAGAAAAACACTCATCTCAAACGAAACAAACATTTACTATTCAAATCCCTCAGCGGTGGGGAACGTCGGCGTTCCGCTCGTTCCCTTTAGCACGATGGACATAGCTGTATGGGTGTGTGTATGTCTGTATATATATAAATGTATATATCATGTGCACTTTAGCTTATATTACTACCTCAAAATACTTATTCAAATTCAGCCTGCTGCACCATTATATTCTACCATGTTGTTGTTCAATATCTCTCTTTAGGACATTGTAAATATTTTAATTACTTTTTCACTTTTTGGTACTTTTTTTTTGATGTACCCTTATTGCATGCTCTATTTTCATGTTGGTTTGTTCTTTGATTTTTTAGCGAGTCAAATCGGTTCTTCTCATCCTAAGCATTTCATTGTACCGTTAACCCTGTGTTAATCTTGCATATGACAAATAAACGCAACTTGACAAAACTAGAAACAAAAACCTTTCACTGCCTAGATGAGGCCCTCCGGATAGAGGGCGAAACGTCTTTCCACAAAAAAGAAACTGTCCAGATGACCTGACTGACCACTATTGGATTTTGTACCTGGATGATTGAGCATGAACTGTGATGCCTGGATGATCAAAAACCAAAGTACAGAAGGTACCGCGGATAAAACAAGCATTGTCCGTGTTTAAGGAAAAAAATGGATGTAAATATCCTAAAGCGCTTGCATTAGTTATACTCACAAATGCACTCATCTCTGAAGTGGTGACACCTCCTGAAAACAACCAATCAGGTTAGAGAGAGGTTATGACCTTGTGTAAGGAACAGCTAAGTGTGTCTAATCCCGACCCTGAAGAAACCTTTTTAGCTCCAATGAAAGGAGTCCTTTGTTCTATTCCTGACCTCCTGACTGCTTATTAGCTGTGTTAAGAAGTCTGTGCAATAAACTAAAAACAGGCACTGAGGCATTTCTTTTGGGCAGGCGTGGGCTATATGAAGGAGTAGCCCAGTTTCCTGAAAGAGCCCCACCTTTCAGGGTAAGTCCCCGTCTGCTCCAATCAGCAGTCAGATCGGTCTGACTCATGAGGCCAGACTGAGAGACCTCATGACTGACTGAGCCACACTTGGCAGCGTTTGTGTTGACATCACCGGGCCACACACCTACCTGGCCTGACCGCAGACTCAAACCCAGAGTCCCTGAACAGCAACAGCCTGCTATTTTAAAGATGTCACCCACAAGACTGGATTAACACTTGGAAACGGGGGCGGAAGGAGAACACGTTTCTGTATGAGGTTAGCAAAGTTCACTCCCCCAGTCAGTCTACTTTAAAGAATACTGGGAATGTGAGACTTCTCCATCCTGCTGAAGTGTTTTCTCATACAAGAGGGACATGAGAAGTGGGTCAGTACCTGTGAAGGTTTCGGTGCAGGGGTTAATTCCAGCCAGTCTTTTAGATGTGCCAAAATCTGATATCTTCAGGACGCCGCTGTAAGTGTTAATGAGGACATTATCACCCTGCAGATAGAAAAAAAAAAATCATCAGTGACGCTCTGATTGCTGCAGAAGTCTGGTTCTGATGATGTGAGGAGGTCGTAAACGGTTGCAAAAAGAATGAGGAGCGTCCAACCAAAACAAAGTGACTCACATTTACTCTGCTAATTATTCTGAGCACAATGCTCCAACGTTTGAATGAACAGGAAGAAGGTTACTGACCCAGATTGAGACCAGCGTTTGTCAAAGGTGAGATAAAAAAAACAGAGCGGGAGCTAAACCGATCGACCAAGAAATGTTGAAACGCCACGAGACGCCGCAGAAGAATTCACGAGTAGAAGCCGTTCGGAGGAGAAAAGCGGCACCTTGATGTCTCGGTGGGCGATCTGGTTGTCGTGCAGATATTTGAGCCCCTCCAGGATCTGCCGCGTGTAGAAGCCGATGGTGGGCTCGTTGTTTTTCAGGGGGCCCCATTTAGACCTCAGCAGCGCCGACAGACTCCCTGAACACATCGGGACAAAGTACAACGATCAGCACTCACTTTGACCCAAGATCAAACGCCGATCAATCCGTGTGTACACAAGCAGAGGAGGTTAATCATGAACCTGAAAATAGAGGATCGTCTTTTAAATCTTCATTTGGGATCGTAAAAAAATCACGAGCAATAACAACCACGCCAACGTACAAGTTAAACGCTTTGTGTTGTTTATTTTACCGTTTGTAAAGTTATACAGTCAAAACTTAACAGCAATATTTTAGTTTATTTAGCCTTTAATAAGAAAAATACTTTTTTTTTCCAAAGTCACCATGTTATTCATACATTTATAAATGTCATAGTCCCAAACTAAATATTTAATTTACAAACTAAACATACATTTATAAATGTCATATTTACAAGCTAAATATTTAGTTTACAAACTAAGTTCTTAACTTGCAAGTTAAATATTTAGTTTGTAAACTAAACATTTAGTTTAGTTTATTAACTAAATATATATAATATTTAGATGTAAATTAAATATTTAATTTCCAAGCTAAATATTTAATTTCCAAGATAAATATTTAATTTCCAAACTAAACATACATTTATAAATGTCATATTTACAAGCTAAATATTTAGTTTACAAACTAAGTTCTTAACTTGCAAGTTAATATTTAGTTTAGAAATTAAATGTTAGGCTTAGAAATTAGATATTTAGCTTGGAAATTAAAAATAACATTGTGAAAATATGACTGAAAATAAACAACTTTTTTCTTATTAAAGGCTAAATAAACTAAAAATATTGCTGTTAATTTCTGACTGTGCAACTTTACAAATGGCACCCTATAGTTTTAACTGATTTTATTTGAACGTGAGCCGTCAGGTTGTTTTATAAAGGGTGAGCTCAGGAGTCTCACCTCCTGGAACCTGTTCCATGAAGATCTTTATGAAGCCGTTTTCGCTGATGGAGCCCAGGTACTGGACAATGTTCTTGTGCTTCAAGTGTTTGTGAAGGGCGATTTCCTCGTGAAGCGGCTGAGAGTATCTGAGTTAAAAAAAAAAAAAGGAAATTCTTGAAAACAGAACTAAGTCAAAAAGAATCACCAGTTACTTTTGAATAGTTTATTTTATTTTTATTTTTGCTTGAAATGCCAATATCTACTCCCGTTGACCTAAAAAACAGATTTAACTAAAATTTGGATTAATTTATTTTTCTTTTTCTTTCGGCTGCTCCCTTCTTCAGGGGTTGCCACAGCAAACCAACTCGCATGAAGACTTGGCAATTGTTTTTACGCTGGATGCTACGGTGGCTGTGAGGTGTAAATGAACAACATTTGAAAAAACAGAACTACATTTGAAAAAACGGAATTACATTAAGCCAAAGCGGAAGTGGCCAAAGTGGACGTGGCCAAAGCAGAAGTGGCAGAAGTGGAAGTGGCTGAAGCAGAATTGGCTGGAATCGCATTTGAAAAAACTGAATTACATTTGAAAAAATGGAATTGCATTTGAAAGAAACAGAATTTCATTAAGCCAAAGCAGAAGTGGCAGAAGCGGAAGTGGCTGAAGCAGAATTGGCCAGAATCGCATTTGAAAAACCTGAATTACATTAGAAAAAAATGGAATTGCATTTGAAAAAAACAGAATTCCATTAAAACAAAACGGAAGTGGCCGAAGCGGAAGTGGCTGGAATCACATTTGAAAGAAACGGAATTACACTAAGCCAAAGCGGAAGTGGTGTTATTATTTTCCAAATGTAACTCCGTTTTTCAAATGTTGTGTTTTTGTTCTTTTTGTTGCATTTTTTTAAAATGTAATTCTGTTTTTTGAAATGTTGTTCATTTACACCTCACGGCCACTGTAGGATGTCCTTCTTGACGCAACCACAGACCACAGGGATACCACAGCCCTCTGTGCGGAGCAGAGAGCTGACATCTAGGGCGCCCGGGGGGAGCAGATGGTGGGGGTTAAGGGACTTGCTCAAGGGCCCAGGGTGGAGGCAGGTGTGGGCCCTCCACCTTTTCCAACCACATTTTAAAGTTATCAGTTCAGAGAGTTGAACTGGTGACCTTACAATCACAGGGTTGCCTTCTCTAACCTCTGCGCCACCACTACGACTTTACATGTTGAATCTTATGGTCGTGAGCCGACATCTGAACCCTCTGTCACAAAACAGACTAACATTTTATCTAAGTGTTTAAGGAGATGTTTTTTTAACTTTACAAGCTCATCATGTTATAAAACTAATAACAGAACGAAAATACTCTAAATATGTATTTTCTTTATAACTAGCTGGAAGAAGTTCAGCTGGCATAAGATGCTTTAAAATAAAGTATCACATCTGTTCTACATAAATAAATCTATTGTGGCAGTAGTTTTGTTGACTGATCAAATGTTGCCCAATGGTTAAAAAGCAGGTGTGGGCGTTTCCAGTTAACTCAAAGTATCTCGCTAACGGATCAAAAGGTAAAAAGTTTTCAGATTATTGTGACAGAAGAATAAAACAGACTCAAAAATATTTAAATTGGTGACATTTGGACCACTGAACTTGGGTTGTTTTTAAATTTAAAAACATATTGAGATGTTCACTGTTCCATAAAGTGATTTATTTATTAGCTACAAGGTGTTATGACTTTGAACTAGCTAAACACACAAAAAAAGAGAAATTGAAAGAAAGCAAGAAAGAAAGAAAGAGAAATTTAATTTTCAGTTGAGATTTTACAAGTTAAGTATTAAAAGCAACAAAACACGAGGAGACGCTAAATGAAGCAAAATGGCAGCTGAAAGGATCAGAGCAGTAGCTAAAAACTACAAACTAAATGAAGCAGAAAAGGAGGTAAAAGCAGGAAAATAGATGCCGACGTTAAAACGATCAAAGCTGTAGCTAAAAGTTAAAACCAAGAGAATGGTTGCGAAGAGCTAAATTTAGCAAAACGGTAGCTCAAAATTCAATGGAGCAGAACAGTAGCTAAAAGTCTAAAATGGCTAAATAGTTGCTATAAGAACCACGTGACAGAATGGTAGCTAAAATAAAGAAAAGAGCAGAACAATGACTAAAATTAGCAAATCAGATTCTAATGTTTACAGAATTACAGCTAAAAGTAGCAAAATAGATGTTGCAGCTAAAATTATCAAACTGTAGCTAAAATCCAAAAGTGGAAAAAAACTGCAGCTAAAAGCTAAAAACAGCAGAATGGTTGCAAAAATTAACAGAAGCTAAAAGACAAAAGCGGCTAAGCAGTAGCTAGAAATGAAAAGTGGCATAATGTTAGCTAAAAGTAAAAAGAAGCTAAACAAAATGGAGCAATGCTAAAGCAGAGTTGACGTCATCTCAATGAATTTCTTGGGGGATTTTTTATTTTATTTTAAAGTTAAATATTTAAAAATATATAACATTTACAAAAACCCAAAGTCACAGCAGCCATCTGTTGAACGAGCTGAACTTTTTGATACTAGAACGATAAAAAAAAAACCCACAAAGCTGGGGAGTAGTTTGGATGTAAAAATAAACTGTAAACAGAGGAACCACAACGCTGACTCAGCGTTCACACTGACTGAACACCTGGCTCCAGGTGTGTAACCTGCTGGGTAGAGCTGGTTTTACAGAGATGTCACTGTGCTTTTTCCTTGAAGTGACAGAAGGAGGAAAAATATAACCAAGCACCTAAAAACGACTCAGCCGAGTCAGAAGAGAGAACGGCTCCTGGTATCTGAGCAGAACAAAGGGTCCCTGTGTGTTGAAGGAACGCCTGTCAGCCATTTCTCCTCGCGCTCGGCTCCCTGCATGAATCACCCCGTCTCCACATTTCAGCCCTCCTATGAATTATTCACACAGAATTCTGCACATTCTTCGCAGCCGAGCGGCGACTTTCTGATGTGACTACTGGAACAAAGTGTGGCAACAGAGTCGTCTCGGCCCGGGAGAGCCTCGCAGTCTCAGATGAGGAGGTGGAACTCGGAGGGGGCGAGCACTCGGGAGTGGAGACAGTGATGGGAGTAAAGGAGCTCTTTACAAACAGTCAGCCAAGCAGCTTGCTGAAAGCCAGACACCACCAGGGACACTGCTAATCCCTTTTTTTTTTTTTTTTTTTGGCACTCAGTTGGAGAAAGGCAGCACTTTTCCTAGTGGTTCTGAACGAGATCAGACTTTTAACAGCCGAGACACTTGTTCACGTTCAGAACACAACTCAGGTTCTGCTTACAGAGCAACAACAGAAGTGTCAGAGCTGCTGAAATGTCAAACGTCTCGAGGGTGGCCGCACACAGACACAGCTCTTTCTATAAACATGAACCCATAGCACCAAGTCAGACATTTAGATATTTTGTAAGCAAATATGACATTTGAGTTTAATTTAGGCACTACAGCACAAGTCTTTACAGCATCCCTTGCTGGGAAAGCAGCAAACTAAAATACAAAGAGACATTTGGGAAATAAATATTCTGCTTCTGACCTGCAGTCTCGCTCTGGTATTTCTTTGATGGCCAGTCGGACCTGGTTGCTGAGGTCTCGGCCGGCGTACACGACTCCGAACGTGCCCTTTCCCAGGATCACCCTCTCGCCGTGTTCATCGTACTCGTAGTCATACTGCAGAGACAAAACAAACATTGCTGATTCACTCGGACCACAGGTGATGTGTGAATGAAGCTCACGTTTATATTTGTTGTGGAGCTCAGGGCTAGAAGGGGATGTTGGGTGTAAACAGCCAAATAACTGCCCAGCGGTGACGGGTCACACACCGGTGCCGACGACCATGCAGATAAAAACCTCCGTTAGGCTGCAATATTCGTGTCAGCAGCTAACTAACCCTGAAGTAAACCAAACATCCATCGTGATGATCCAGAATTCGCAAAACTGTTTTTAATTTCTTCATATTTTGACGTTTAACTGCTTCAACATAATCTGTAATGTTAGCTTTTAGCTACTAGTCTGCTATTTTTAGCTAGCATTGTGCAACTTTTAGCCTTAAGATGTAGCCTTTTTCTATGCTATTAGCTAGCCTTTTGCTTTATTTAACTAGTATTTTCCTCGTTTTTGCTTATATTTAGCCTATCGCTACTTTTAGCTACTATTCAGTTATTTGTGGCCTCTAGTTGGCTTTTTGCTACATTTCATTAGCCTTTTGATACTTTTAGCTTGAAGCTAGCCCTCTAACAAGGTTGAGTCAGCTCCTCTGGACAGGTTCTATTCTGATGAAACGTCTCAACGTCTGTTGAGGTCTCAGTCTCTGATAGAGGACATTTGCAAACTGAGGTGTACTGCAAACCCACCCACACAGACCAGTATTTGCAGTTTGACTCCCATCACCCTTTGGAGCACAAGTTAGGAGTCATCAGGACTCTGTACCACAGAGCAGACAGCGTCCCCACTAGCTCAGGAGCCAGGCAGAAGGAGAAATCCCACACAAGACAGGCTCTAGAGCAATGTGGATATCCTAACTGGGCCTTCCTGAAAGCAGAGAAGAAACCCAAACAGGACTCCAGTCAGCCATCAGGTGAAAAGGAGGAACCCAGACCCAGACCAGTGGTCATTCCATATGTTGAGGGAGTATCAGAGAAACTGAGACGTTTATTTTCTAAACATAATGTCCCAGTGGCTTTTAAACCCCAAAATACATTACGGCAAAGACTGGTTCATCCCAAAGATCCAGTCCCCGGCACAAACAGAGTAATATTGTGTATGTTGTTCAGTGTCAGGAGGGTGATCAGTCTTACATTGGGGAAACTAAACAGCCACTGGCCAAAAGGATGGCCCAGCACAGAAGATCAACATCATCAGGCCAGAACTCTGTGGTCTACACTCATCTCCAGGCCAGCGGTCACTCTTTCAAGGATGAAGATGTTCACGTCCTGGACAGAGAGGAACGATGGTTTGAGAGAGGAGTAAAGGAGGCCATCTTTGTGAAAAGAAATCGTCCATCATTAAACAGGGGTGGAGGCCTCCGGGGTCAACTGTCCCCCTCTTACAATGCTGTGATTGCTAGTATCACTCAGCCCTCTGTGAATAGTAAACAGCCATAAGGGCATTAACGATCCATCGTTAGGCTGATGGTCCTCCTTTTCCATGTGAACAACTAGTTTCGGCCCCTTGGAGCAGCCCGTTTCCACAAACAAGGTGGTCCCATAAACCGAGCTGAGTGGGGTTGATACAAACAGTGGGGAGGCCCTTAACTGGTGCTGTGTTGTGCGGAGCCGAAGAGAGATGAGGCAGTGGCAAAGCGCCATATGCAAAGGTGCAATTTAGGACTGTTGATTGTAGCTCCTCAGACTGAAGAAGTCTTTTGGATAAAAGACGTAACGTTTAAACAAAAAATCCACCCAGAGGATCTGACTCTACCTGGCTTAGATTTATCTACCTGGATTATTGCGCATGAATCAGGAGACTTCAAGCTAGACTTTTTTCATTTTCTACCCTTTTGCTACCATTTTTCCACTTTTAACTTAGCTTGTTGCTACTTTTTGCTTTTTAAAATTTTAGCTTTTATTGCAGTACTGCTAAATTTAGCTGGTGCATTGCTACTTTAACTTTTAGTCAGCTGATTTCTAGTTTTAGCAAGACATTTGTTACATCTAGCTTCTTGCTACTTTTAACTTTTACCTAATGTTTTGCTACATGTAGCTAACTTTTTGCCATTTTGTCTCAGCTAGCGTTTTGCATCTTTTAGTTTTAGTGTTCTGTTTCATTTAGCTTTAAGAAATAACTTTCAGCTTCTTTAGCTGATTGCAGCCGTCATCAGGTGCTGCGTGTTTACATTCGACAGAAAATAAAGATTCTCTAGTTGTTTGCACCACTGTACAGAACATAATTTCATTTTTGTTTTACTACAAAATGAGTGAATACATAATTTATATTTTACAAATTGAAATTAATATTAAAGTAAATCTTCATATATTGAATCAGAATCAGCTTTATTAACAATGTACCAAAATACAGTGAGATTATGTTTGTACAGTTGTCTAAAAGATGGGCAGAGCACACGTTGCTGCTGCTATTGGAGCACGGCCCCTTATCCTGATAAGATGTTGGTCAGCCGGCACAGTTCTGATAAGCCTTCACAGAAGTTCTCTGGGGGGGCTGGGGGGTGTTTTGCGATAGACTAAGCTTTTCCTTAGTTTACACACATCCCAGGAGAAATTTTATGTCGGCCTGTTTTCGAGGCCAAACGTGGGAGTCAGATTCAGATAAGCTACAACTGTTGATTTTTTTCAGGCAGACTGTTTTTTCTCATCAGCCTTGAGTTCTGCTGGTACTTTTGATCCAAAATGGCCAGATTTGGGGGCATTCCACTGGTCCGTGCTTACGAGCCTCCTCCAAGGTTTTCTCCAACATGCTGGTGAGTTCCAGAAGCCGCAGTGGCCTGCGGTTCTTACAAATCGCTTCCATCTTACGGTTTAGCTCGTAAATCAGCTGATTTTGAGTACTCGAAGCTCGAACCAAACCTTCACACAGACTCGGCAGTTTTGCCATGGCTGAAACTGCTGCCGTCGTCTTCAGACTGTATTTTATTTTATGCATTTATTCACATTTATTTTATAGTTCTGTGTAAAATTAACTGGTCTCAGTGAGTCTGGGCACTGATTTCAAAATAATCCAGTTAATATTTACAGCCCAGAAAACTGTTCTCTAACAAACACACTCCTGTTTGTTTCTCAATATAATCTTTATTTCGTTAACCTTGATCCTAACAAACCTCCATGAAAAGAAACAGGCTCAGTTTCACCACTAAAAGTTTAGTAAACAGATGTTAGATTGCAGGTTGTAACTAAGTGTCCCTCATTTCAGACTGATTAGAGCTGCAGAAAAACAAACAAGAAAACTGTTAGAAATTCGATCTGTTGCACGCTGAGTCGAAGAGGGTGCGGCAGCATTCTGCTTAACAAGCTTTTCTTTTCCAGCAGCTTCGGTAGAAAAAACAGGTGAGCACACCAGCAGGTGTCAAAACGCACAAACAGAAATCTGGGCTTCATCCCAGCAGGTTCCCGCTCATTTCTACACATTTGCAGCTGCGCTTCCGTTCAGTCGTCGTGATGGAAAACCATCATGGACTGAATCAGAAAAATCTGGGTGGAACATTCGATGAGCAAAAAAAAAAGCAGCTCGTTATTAAATAAGAATTATCTGTTTGAAGAGATTTTTTTAACTCCCTTTGATGAAAATAGAACACTTCCTGTGACCTTTAAAAGGTGACAAAGTGCACTACTGAACATGAAAAGGATGAAGATAAAAATGTGACATTTTTACTGTCTCTTAATCAAAATTAGGCCCCAACATGAAATCTGAAGTGAAGATGGCATCAAGTGGCTTCATTTTGTCTCATCATCTTCTGTCGCTAATCCGTGGTTGTGTCGTAGACGTAACAGGTCCAGGAGAGAAACCCATACATCCCACTCCCCAGCTCCTTCTGGGTGACCCCAAGGTGTTTCCAGGCCAGAGAAGACGTATAATCCCTCCAGCAAGTCCTGTGTCTTCTCCAGGGCCTCTTTCCAATGGGACGTTCCCAGAAACCCCCCAAAGGGAGGCATGCTAATCAGAAGCACGAACCACCTCAGCAGACGCCTTTTGATGTACAGGAGCAGCAACTCTAATCTGAGCGCCTCACCCCGTCTCTAAGGCTGAACCCAGCCACCCTACGAAGGAAGCTCATTATAGCTGCTTGGATCTCGTTCTTTAAGTCATGATCCAAACCTCATGACCGCAGGTGAGGGTTGGAACTAGGCCTGTTACGATAATACATTTTGCTGGGCGATTAATTGTCTCAGAAATTATTGTGATAAACGATAATATTGTTTGAAATTTGACAATAATTAGAAATTATTGTCAAATTTAAGAAGAAATGTTGGTTAATTTGTTTTGAGTCTAGTACCTTTTTTTGACCACCAGATGCCAGTATAAGACAGTTTGAACCGAAGGATGGATAGTGAGGGAGCGAGCAGCGTGTAAGAAAAATGGGAGGGAGGCCCCATGACGTGACATGGTCTGGCTCTCCTTCCTTTTATTTGGTTCTCAAAATGGCGGACGCTCAGTGTGGTTTGAGCTCTTTAGCATAGCATTTTTCACACAAAGCTTTTAATTAAAAAAAAAAATCAGTAAACTAGTTCTCAGCTTATTTTGCAGCAGAAAACAACGTTTTACATGAAGGCACGGGTTTCCACCATGAATTTTGGAGCTTCGACAAGACAGAGGTTTTTTTCCCCCCCGAGGTCAGCCTGTTAGCCTAGCTCATAGCTTAGCTTCTCAGCTTAGCTGCTTTTAATGATCCAAAAATGCGATTTTGGACGATTAAAACTGATTTTAAAGAGAAAAGAGAAAGGGAGGGGTCAGTGAAGAGCACCGGAGTGGAGCCTTCTGTCATCCAGTGTCTTCAGAAGAAAGAGAGAGACATGAAGAAACAATAAAGCCGATTAATAGAAATGAGGTTGATAATTTTATTTTATCACGCGATTAATTGATTTATTGTTTATTGTGACAGGCCTAGTTGGAACGCAGACTGACTAGAAAATTAAGAGTTTTGCTTTTTGACTCAACAAATTGTTCACCATAAGCAACCAAACGACACCCTCATTACTGAGGACGAGGTCCTGATTCATCGATCCATCTGTGGCTCTATCCTACCATCACTCATGAACAGGAGGTGAAGATATTTAAACTCCTCCACCAGAAGACCCCCCCCCCCCCCCCCCCCCCACCACCCACCCTGACCTGGAGGGAGCATTCCGTCTGCTCAGGGCCAAATTACAGAAGTTAACTTTATTTTTATCTGAACGTTTCCATATTTGGACAGATCTTCTCCCAGTTGGCGGAATCGTCTGGCCTCCTGCACAGAATGTTTGATCGAGTCGACGCCAGCTGTTCAATCGACCCAACAGTCTTGGTTTCAGTAAAGACACGAGCGTTTCTGTTCTTGGTGTAAATAATCACGCTTAAACCCCTTCAAAAACAAACAAACGAAGTAAAAACAAGACAAAAGACAACGTTTCATATTCAGGCGAAACAAAGGCCATTGTGAGTTCATATCTGTCTCACCTCTAAGACGTCGGTGTCACTCTCTCCTTCTTCTGGACCCTTCCAGGCTTCCTCTGTTATACTGTTCACCAGATCACAGAACCTGATGGAGACAAGTCCGGTCAGACTCAAAATGCAGATTACTTCCTGTTAGCCTTAAAAAATACAGCGTTGTTTGAAACTATGTGGTCAGTTGCAGGTTTTTAATTACAGTGAATTTAATTTTCTAAACGGAAGAATAACACGTAAAAACACCAACGGAACAGAACCAAACGGTCCATTTTTCCATCCATCCATCCATCCATTATCTTTACCCGATTATTTCATTTTGGGTCACGGGGGTCGCTGGTGCCCATGTCCAGCAATCACTGTGCGAGGGGCGGGGTACACCCTGGACGGGTCTCCAGTCCATCACAGGGACACACAGAGACAAACGAGACAAACAACCATTCACTCTCTCACTCACACCTAGGGACAATTTAGAGTTACCAATCAGCCTAACATGCATGTTTTTGGACTGTGGGAGGAAACCGGAGTACCCGGAGAAAACCCATGCATGCACGGAGAGAACATGCAAACTCCACCCAGAAAGGCCCCTGGACCGGGGTTTGAACCAGGGACCTGTTCGCTGAGAGGCAGCAGCTCTACCAGTTGCGCCACCGTGCTGCCCGGTCCATTTTTCCATTGTGCCTTTTTAACCTGACTGAGATGCTTGGGAACATTTTTAACAACGGGCTTCACACAAACACAAATATCTCCAGCAGGAGCTGTCGGTGCTCGACCAGCATTTTACTCTCAGCCGCACACCGACTGACCCATCTAGCGATGCAACGTAAAGTACAGGTGTGATTTGTTACCACCCGCTGTCACCAAAGGTTGGTAATCATGTTAATTGCCTGTGTCTGTGTTCATTTGCCTGTTGGCAAAAAAAATTCACAAAAAGGCACATTGTTCCCGTTACAAAAATCCATTTCTGAGTAGGAGGAAAGCTGCAAGAGCAAATGTAAACACTGAACAAAACAATCGTGTCAGGTAATAATTAAAAATGTTCTGATTGAACAACTTCAGAATCAATACGCACATGCTAACATATAGCATCCATTTTTTTTTGTAAACGCAGCGTGTGGTGTGGTGTCTAGGCCTGTTACGATAACAAATTTTGCTGGGCGATTAATCGTCTCAGAAATTATTGCGATAAACGATAACATTGTTTGAAATTTGACAATAATTAGTAATTATTGTCAAATTTAAGAAGAAATGTTGGTTAATTTGTTTTGCTTGTAGTACCTTTTTTGACCACCAGATGGCAGTATAAGACTGTTTGAACTGAAGGATGGCTAGCGAGGGAGCGAGCAGCGTGTCTCTTTAAGAAAAATGGGAGGGAGGCCCCTTGACATGACATGGACTGTTTCTCTTTCCTTTTTTTAGTTCTCAAAATGGCGGATGCTCGGTGTGGTTTGAGCTCTTCAGCATAGCATTTTTCACACAAAGATTAAAATTAAAAAAAAAAAATCAGTAAACAAGTTCTCAGCTTCTTTTTGCTGAGACAAACAACTTTTTAGACGAAGGCGCGGGTTTCAACAGTGGTAAGAGCACCAGAGCTGAGCCTTTGGTCATCCAGTGTCTTCAGTAGAAAGAGACAGGAAGAAACGATGAAGCCGATAAATGAAAACGAGGTCGATCATTTTAATTTATCATGCGATTAATTGATTTATTGATCATCACGACAGGCCTACATGGACATAAAAAGAACTCTGTTCAAACTTTATGTCCACTGAATTTGATCGGTCATCATACAATTAAAATTGATTTAAATCTTTATTTTTTCTGAGGCATGTAATCCAGAGCCCAGACACGCACATATAAACGTTTAAGTTTTAAACGTCAGAACTATTTTAAGATAAACTCCTCCAGATTTGGCAAACGCTGAAGATGACTGAACACATCATTGCACAATGCCGTTGAGCCGCTGATCCAGTCCAGACAGGGTCACAGTGTGTTTACACACACACTCCTCACATGATGCATACCGTGACCTTCACCGGCTGCGCTGCACACAAGCTGTGAATTAACACAGCATCATCGCGCCTGCAGGTGTTCACTCGCTCCTTCCTACCTCCCATATTCCTCTCTTTTCTTTACCCCTCTTTTCTCGCCGTCACTCCTGAGCAAACGAGAGCAGCATAATGGCAGCGGCAGGCGTGACACTTCAGATACTGGCACAGGAAGCCTCAGACGAGAGTCACAAGCCGCTGCTTCAAAGAGCAGCTGGCAGAGAACGCGACGGCGCTCAAATTAAAGGTGAGCTCGTGTCGACGGGAAACGGAAATTTCCCACGAAGACGCAGAGCTTGAAAGCATTTAAGATGGGCGAAGACAAATAAAGGAGATGCATGAAACTGTATGCGTGAGTATCATCGGCTGCAGAGATGTTTGCAGCACATCCAGGGTAAAAGACACCAGATTAGCTGTTACATCATCAAAACGGACAAAACTGTAGAGGATCCTATGCAGGCATGCAAGTAGTCTATCAGTGTGACCGTTCTGTGTGCATGAACCGGACAAACAAGTCCCCGTCGCTGAAGGTTTTAAATAGTGAATGTTTGTAGTAGTTGAGTGTTTTTCTGTTCTGGAATTGAACAGGGATAGTAAACCTTGACATTTTTGGTCTAAGATATATAAGTTTGCAGGAGTTACAGAGTTAAAGAAAGTTTTTTTTTTCTTGTCCGAGGCGATGCAGAGTGATGGAGCCGGACGAGTGGAGGGAGCCAGGGGGTGGTCCGAGGTGGCCTTGGCCACCACAGATTAATCTTCAGCCACCACAATCATTTGAGGAAACTATACTTTTAAGCAATCTAATCTAATTCAATTCAGTTTATTTATATAGCACCAAGTCACAACAGAGGTCATCTCAGGGCACTGAACAGAAACAGTCACGTATGTAAAAAGGAAGTTCATAGCATTAATCATCCATCTAAGGAAGCCAGCCGATAGATAACTTCTACTAATTGGCTTCTTCATAAAAGTTCTAAAAGAAACTAGAAAAAAAAGTTTGTTTTTTTTAATTTACTGAAGCAGTATATTTAAAGTCTAATTAATCAGTACATGCAAACACATTAAATCAACTTCATGACGACTTAACATGTTCTTTGTTATTTAAAAACGGATATTTTTTTTGCAGCATGGATCTGACTTTTCTGTGGTTACATAAATCCAAGAACACGTTAATATTCCCTTTATTTTATTGTTTTAGTTTTGAAAATATAAAAACTAGAACAAAGTTTCCTCAGATGATTTGGGTTTGCATATACATGGTGGTGGCCATCTTGAATTTTGACATGGCAACTCAATTTCCAACAGGAACATTTCTTACACCTTGATGCACCCACACACCAAAATGGAAGTTGGTATCTCACTTATTTTTCAAGTCATCCAGCTCACAAGACGAACTGACGGACAGAGGGAGGGCGTTTCCAATTCCACTCGTGGCTCCATGACAGGAAACAAAAAGAGCCTTCAGGTTTTACATTAGTTTTGTGCTTTTTAATTTAAATTCTTTTTACTTTTAAACAGATTTATTGACTTTTAATTTTCTCTATTGCGTTTATTAAACCCCACAGAAAGGGAAAAGGAGGGCGACAATGTTTTTGCCCGTATCCATTTATACGTCTGTCTGTGACCAAAATGCCTCATGAGCCGCCCGATGAATTTTGATGAAACTCTCAGAAAATAATCATTAGATGCACATTTTTAGAGTTAACCTCAGCCAAGATGGCCACCACACCTGGTCAACATCAGCAAACACAAAAAGGACTAAAGCTGTCTTTCTTACCGATACAGAGGTACAATTTGATGTACTACAGCATATTTTAATGATCAATTTTAGATTAAAACAGAGCTATTCAACAAAACTAGGTTACCTTTTTAAATTTGTTCATTTTATTGCATTGAATCATAAATGCAATAAACAGAACCCAACCCCAGAAACAAACAAAAAAGTTTTTTTTAATTGAAGTGGGACTGACTAAAGTCACTCGTGGGCCAGAAGTGGCCCGCGGGCCACCAGTTCATTAGCCCTGGATTAAAACATTGCACTCTTTTAATTTTACTAATAAAAGTATATGTCATTATCTTGTATTAATACAAAGTTTTCTTTAAGGCAAGACCGTGGTTATGTTTTTGGGCTGCATATAGAAGGAGGTTTTACTCAAAAATATCTGCTCTGCAGCTCATTTAAACAAAACAAAGTGAAACAATTCATTTTAGAAACCACAACATTTCCAGTATTTCTGTTTTGAAACTAGAAAATTGAACTAACCTGGAGTAAACCTCGAGCAAGCTGTTGTAACGTGTAAATATGTCTTTTAGAGAAAAGCTCCAGCAGCTGATTCATGCTCGGGCTGCAGCTGCAGAGCTTCTCTGTTCTCTCCAACATAACTCTTTCTCCATGTGTCTATACACACTTAATAAATCTGATACCATTTTAAGCCTAACCTCAAATTATCAGGCGGTTTATCTAAAGATGTTCATTTTAAAGTGACAGGAGAGGGCAGCCGAGCAACTGTAATCCCATTACAGAAAGATTTATTATATTAACTTGGTGCTAAAAACATCAGACAGAGGCATCATTACTCGGGTAAGGAAGAGAGCGACCAACCTTTTGCAGTGCATCTCTGTGCAGAAATAGATCTGGAAGTCCTCTGCATTGTGAAGGACGTAGAGGAAGGCGCTGCGTTCATCAAACTTGGAGATGCTGAGGAGGAAAAATCCAGTTAGTTGAGTTCTAATCACATATCTGATGACATCGACTATGAAACATTGGGCTTTTCTGGACGTGCCCCATACTTCAGGATGTGCACTCAACTGGAACACACATTAGTGATACATCTACAGTAATCATGCCCTGCTGCATCGAGGCGCTGCTGCATTTATTGGTTCATTCAAATCAAGCAATGCTAAATTCTGCACGACAGACAGTAACGTGGAACTTTAACCCAGTGGTTTGAGCTCTCGTCCATTTCTAAGCGTGCCGAGGCCAGATCTGATGAACCAGGCTGTCCGTTAGCCTGCAGAGCTGCTATTGTGTCCTGCTGACTGTCTGCAGGCTGAGTGGGCACAGAGAATGACTTGTTCCCTAGCAACATGTGAGCACAACCCTCCACTTCTCTCCGATCAGACACTGAACTCCTCTGAGGGCCGTGGAAAAAAAAAAAAAAGACAAAGACATCATAAAATCTGTCCACGGTGGGTTTGAACGTCTGGAGCTGTGGGATTAGAAGTGATGGTGAAATATAAATAATACAACCTGAAAGTTAATGTTTTTATACATGTGCATGCATTAAACACGATTTATTTATACATCCATTTTAAATTCAATTAACATAAATTTATTGCATTTGTCTGGAAAATTTGTTCTGTTTTGCATTTGTTTTGGGGAAATGTTCATGTTTTGGGGTTACGTATAGAAGGAGTGGGAAAAATACGCTTTTTCAAACTAGTATTAAAAATAGTGAACCGTACCTTTTGGGCTATAAGGCGCAATATCAATGAACGGGTCTGTTTTCATACAGAAGGAACACCGGATTATAAGGTGCATTAAATGAAACTAAAACGTTTTGACAGATTTTTGAGCACTGTGTACATAAAATCAGTTTGAGGTCAGTACGCACAACCAGAATTACTATATTTTCCGCCGCACACGTCACACCGCCCTATAAGTTGCATCAGTTCAAATATGTCTAATAAAATGGAAAAATAAATAAATGTCGCTTCGCTGTCTACGTCGCATCTATTGTGCGTCACCGCTGACGTGTGGCGTTTGTTACGCATCACCGCTGACAACCCGGAAATGTGGGCCAAACCTGGAAATGTGGGCCAAACCCAGAAATGTGGGCCAAACCCAGAAATGTGGGCCAAACCCAGAAATGTGGGCCAAACCCAGAAATGTGGGCCAAACCCAGAAATGTGGGCCAAACCCAGAAATGTGGGCCAAACCCAGAAAAGTTCCCCAAAAAATTCATATCATGAAAACTTTCCTCAAGAGCAGAGACGGCTGCTGTTTTCCTTCTGTGCTGAAATTTATCCAAATAAGACGTGACAAAGGAGATAAATGTAATTAAATGTATCAAAGTTTTCATTCGCCCATGCTCCAACCCTTGGCTGAATTTGATCAAATGATTCTTGGCAGCGACGCCACTTGGAATTTGGCCTTACTGAAAAGAATTAGACGACCATACAATGATGCACATTTTGCCACCACTGCAAAGAACAATTGTGTGATTAATTTTTCATTCAGCTCATGTTTTGTCTTTATCGCCTGCTGCCAAGAGGCAAAGGCCAACAAAGTCAGAGCCAACCCAATTCAAGATGGCTGCCACAGTCAACTGACCTTAAAAATACACACAAGCGGTACGTCGATGTCCCATCACTGAGGGATTTGAATAGTGAATGTTTTGTAGTTTTCAATATGAGTGTTTTTCTGGACTGGAACTGAACAGGGAATGAAAGCAAACCTAAATGTTTTTAATGCAAGATATTCCAGCGGGTCGGAGTTACACTATGGAGAAGAACACCAAGTGTTTTATTGTTTTTTGCTTACCCTGGGCACAGAGTGATGAATCCCTGTGACTGGAGGGAGCAATTTTATCCGCCACCAGGTGCAATGGAGCATCCAGGGGGTGGTCAGAGGTGGCTATGGCCCCTATAGCTTAATTTTCAGCCACCACAATCATTTGTGAAACTATACTTTGATATAAAAACTAGAAAACATAGTTTCTTCAAATGATAGGGGTGGCCAGTTTACATATATATATATGGCTGTGTCCATATTGAATTTGATGTGGCAATCCAGTTTTGGATGGTGACCTTTCTTACACCTAGAGGCAGGCACACACTAAAGTAGAAATCTGCATTTCACTTATTTTTCAAGATATCCAGCTCACAAGACAGATGTCAGAGATAAAACACAAGTGGCTCTAACTCAGCTGCTTTTACTGATGTTGATATAAAATTTGATGTTGTAGTAGTCAAGAGAATATCTTGTATTAATAATATTATCAAGGAGTAACTTAAATAAGAGTCTAAAACACTGGTGTGAAAGGCAGCGGGTGATATGCATTCACTTAAGGAATGCCAGACCTTTTCTTCTTTTTGTTTCTCCACCAAGACAGAAAATTACTCGTACAGCATCAAAACAACCTCCAGCTGACAACTTTTTGGTATATCCTTAAAATATAAAGCACAATAAATAAATTTAAAAAATAGTTAATTTAAAAGAGTTTTAAATCAAAGACACTGACCTGACACCTCGGACAGACTTGGCACTGAAGTTCCACTCATGTAGCCCCTTGTTCTGCAAATAATGACGAAAATCAAATGTTTTGGTGAGATTTTCAACAAGTGTTTGGTTTTTAATGTAGCGCACGACTACGTTGCAGATGTTTTATTATGAGCTATGTTTTCCTTTGTTCTTCTTCAAATATCTTGCCATCTTCTCTTAAAAATCACCTGGCGTCATTGGTATAAGAAGCATTGGTAATTTGGGGGGACACAATGGTGGTGGGGGTCTGGGGCTCCTCCCCCAGAAAAATATGAATAAAGTAGATGCCATTTCCCGCAGTCTGGTGTATTTTAACGGGTTGTTAAATATTTACGTTTACCTACATATGTAAACACTTGAGTCAATAACTATTTTAGAGAGCAACAAGAAGTAGCCTGACCAACAGCTCCCCTTGTGTGAATAGAGCATGCTCCGCTTCTCTCAAGCATCCATAGCGCTAAGCTAGCGGCGCACAATAAAAACGTGCTAGCTAAGATACTACAGACGTCGCACTCCGCTTCTCTCATGCATCCTAACCCCCCCACAACCCAAGTCAATAACTGCCAGCACTAATGAAGCACTAAGCTAGTCCGCAACACAGAGGTGTCTCCCCCTTCTCCCCCTACCCTGTCCACAAAAACCCATCAGAGATGAGCATCTGCCAAACCAAGTGATCCAGGGGGAAAAAGCATGTGGTGAGTTGTTATAGTTAACCAAAAAAAATCGGAGTGGACTTTTAGTGGTTTGAGTATTTTCCTATTAATCAAGTGGAATGGATTTGTTAAAGAAATAGAAACAATGCTGGGTGAACTAATATTTCATGGTAAATGTGGGGGTAGGGGGTCCAAATTAGTATTTTTTTTTATGTGAGGGGGGCACCTTCCCATCACATATAATTGTTGCGACGCTATGCCTGATGTTCTTCTTTTTTTACCCACAGCCTTGACTCTCAGATTTATTTATTTATTAACTTTTATTTAACCAGGCAAATCCCACTGAGAGCTCCTTTTTGCAAGGGAGGCCTGAGCCTCAAGGCAGCCTAACATGCATGTTTTTGATCTGTGGGAGGTAACCGGAGTACCCGGAGAAAACCCACGCAAGCACGAGAAGAACATGCAAGCTTCACACAGAAAGACCCCAGGTCCAACCGAGGATTGAACCCAGGACCTTCTTGCTGTGAGGCAATAGTGCTAACCACTGAGCCATCGTGCTGCCACTAGATTGTCTTCCATGTCACATTTCTTTTGGATATATTCAGATTTCTTTTCTGTAACTCAGTAATAGGTTTGCCTCTTCCACTAACACCTCCAATTCCATCACTTCAAAGTTCATTTTGCGTTTGCGGTGCTCACCCAAACTTTCCATGGTAAAAACCAGTAGCGCACAAAACCCTCATTTAAATGAGGCGGTCTCCACCACTTTTACACTTGTTGCCAATTGCGCCCAGGTTCGTAGCAAATCATGCGTAACGTGCACAACAACAGCGCGTGCAGTCTGTTAGAGTGAACGCGCAACTAAGCGCCTGCTATTTGGGATTTTAGTGAATCAAGCTCTTAGTGTGGTTAAGATATTGTCAAAGTCTTCTCTTCCTGTTGAAATAATACAGTTCACTCACAAAAAGAACAAAGCACTAAAATCAGGAGGAATATAAAAACTAAAGTTAGTAAAGAAAGGTCGAAGGTTATCTAGAGTAAACAGCGTGTGAGTAGAGCAGTTAAACATGCACCTTGTCATCAGGAGCAACATGCCAGATGGACACAGTGTTGTCGTCCACGTCTTTGTTTATGGACAAATAAGAAGGCTGGTAAACTTTAGTCGGCTCCAAAATCAACACCTGCAGAGCAGATTGAGATTCTCACAAACATTTTATTCACTCTGTTCAAACTCAGTGGAGTCATTTAGGTGTTTTAGCGTTGCTCACAGGAAATCGGACGGAGGAGACGTCTTTTTTCGTCGCCTCCACCAAGAAGTCCATCCAGAAATCGACCAGCTCTTGTTTGGGTGCTGGCGGCTCGGCGCTGGGCTTTTTAAAGTGCTGGTAGATCAAGATGGTCTCCACCAGCGAGTTCAGATACCTGAAGCCGACCAGAAAACCAGGGGGAAACAACCAAATAAAGATGGATAAATATTGATTTTACATCTCATCAAACGGCAGACAGTCCCCATTCAACCACATAACGTAGACGGAGTAGATCCTGCTGACGAGTTTTTATGGACTGTATGGTAAAAGGACTCTACTTTCTATCTTCTCAAGACACTCAAAGCTCTTTACAACACAATCTGTGCCCTCATTTACCCATTCATACAGCACTCTACTAGATCTCTACAAAGCTAATTGAACAAATAATTCTAAAGAGACTAATCAGTGATTTATCACATTCATGCACCGATGGGACACATCAGAGGCGATGAAGGGTTCAGTGTCTTGCCCAGGGACACTAAGGCATGTGACTGCTGGTGGATTAGAACCCCCAACTCTTGCATTGGAGGATGACTGCTCTAACCACTCAGCCACAGCTGCCCAGTTTATCAGATAAAGACTTTTCCATGTTCTTACCAGATGGGCGCTTTGAGCTTGAAGAGTTTCTCAGAGGCCTGGATGACTCTGGTGTTCTCACAGGCCAGTATGCTGGCACCCAAGAAGAAGCCCACGTCCCAGTAACTCTGCAGCTTGTCCAGACTGCCTTTTTTACCAAGCAGGCTGCTCAGTTTAACACCTAGAAAGAAAAAAAAATAAGACAAGCAATGACAAAGTCTTTAATCCTGCAGGAAAACACTGTTTTTTTATTTGGCATTAAGCTGTAGGCAAGTCAGACCAAACTTGAGGAAAAAAGACAGGAAAGGTTGAGAAATTGTTCTATATTAAAGGTGCAGTGTTACAATGGTTCCAATTGTATCTGTGCAACACTAGTTTTGGTGGTAATGTTGGTAATAACAAAAAAGGTTGAATCATGTCATCTGGACTTCGTTTTTTTGTTAA